GCACACAGACGTTAAATGAAATGTTTTATCAAAAATACCACTTCCCCAATTTGAGACAAGATAGTATTCTAATAAAGAAGTTGTCAACACACGTGGTCATTTAACTGGTTAATATGCATGTCAGATGATCCTTAATACAAGTATTTGGCCTGCAGAGGGCTGAAGTCCAGTGGACGGACTGTACCGACCTCCTCAAAAATGACACATTCACAGCGTACCTGCACCCGGATGGCAGAGAGTCAACAAAGTTTGTGTGTTGATGGTGTGTTCAGGTGCTCCTCATCAACTCAAGTCTGATTTATTTAGTAGTTGTATTCAAGCAAAAACCTCAAGCAATATCTGCAATAATAAACTTTGTTTCACTTCAACTGTCCTCAGCAGATTTATGTTGGATATATTTTCGGTTCCAATGTCACTAAATAGTCCAAACAAACCTTGTTTAGTGAACTTTATCACAGACTTTCCACATGTGATGTTTTTACCGGTGACTTATTTAAGTTTGTGCTCATGATGATTCTCCCCTTTGTCCATGTGACATTGAAGAGGTCCATTAAAAAAGACACACGTAATGTAAAAAAATGCACAGTCCTCATTCTGTGCAAAGAAAAGTTATCTAAAGATTATAACGGGCCTCATTAGTATGGTTAGTGAGTGTCTTCTTTTTTTTAACATAACATTAACACACTTAGTGACATTTATTTATCTGCAGAGGAGGAATAGTAACACAAGAGGTTTAAATTCATAATAAAAGGTTACAACTTTGGATGTTTCCCTCTTGATTTGGTTAAATTGGTGCACTGATGCCTAACTTTGCCTAATTCTAGTAATGCTTTTTCTGCATAGAAAGAGTACTGTACTGCCATCACCTATTGGTATCAAATAGGAAACTCTCTTTCTGGTCAGTAGGCCCGTGGTTAAGAGTAACTGAAAAAAATGAACCTACTTTAATTGATGCTGATCAGAGGACTGGACGGCCCCAATGGTGTGCTGGAGGAGTGACCGTCGTAAACATAAGGTGAGCGCCCTAAACCAACAGCACGCTGTATGGATTCAACTGCACTCAACAGCCGGCGAGGAAAACTGCCAGACTGATAAAGGAGTGTATTGTGAATTAGCAAAACCAGGCTAGATGGCAGACATTAAATAAAACGATATGCATTGAACAATATAAATGATTTATAAAGACTTTATAAATGTCTCTGCCTCTAGGCCTCATATTTTTCTATAGATTGACTGAGTTACAGCCACTGTCATGTAGTTCTGAAAGTCAAACATCCAAACAGGGTTTAACATTAACATTAAATGATCTTTTGCTAGAGGGAGGGATACAGCTAAGCGGGCAGTGATAGTCACCAAACTAGCATCATTAAAATGATCATATGGCCAAAGAAAATAAATGAAAGGACAGGTGAATACCATTTGAGAAGGGCTGTGAGGGAGTCAGATAGAAAGCATGTCCTCCCTATTCCCAGCAACATAGCAGACATCACGCTGTCCCCCCGTGACAGTTTTATTATCAGAACTGGTATGCAACCCAAGAGTAATTTCCCTTAATGATCTCAGACACCTTCTACACCCCAGGACAAGTGAGTGTGGCTGACATGAGTGGACAGAGGGAGAGAGGGAGAGAGAAAGGGAGGAGGAGACGGAAAGAAGATAATAAACATATAGGAAAGCAGTTGGGGATCAGGCTGAAAAGAAACACTTTCTGCTGATTGGTCAAAGAAAACGGAAAAACCCAGTTATATTATATAACTTTATTATAGATCAATAGACAGCTCAACTGTCTTGAGCGAAGTAGACAGGCAGACAAAAACTGTCCAATCTTACCAGAGAAGAGACACACACCCACTCTGATCTGGCGTTCAGAGGGAGTGAGGCTATCGCAGCCAACCTGCATGGGTTCCTGTAACTACTTGTCACCCCACCCAGAACTCTACCCAACTCTTCCCAGTACTCCGCCACACTTCTTTGGTTCTGTCTGAGATTGAGCAAACGTTTAGTCGGATCTCCAGCACAAACATTGGTTTGGTTGGTAGGTTGCAAAACTGATGAAATGTGTCTCACAAAATTTAACCTGTTACTTAACCTGTAGAGCGCAGTGATATAGAACACTCGGGTCAATGTGAACAGGTACTTCATTATCGCTCAATAATGTACACCCCGTGAATCACTCTCAACCAATCAAGACTTTTTCCTCCGATTAAAGCTTCAAATAATTTTCGTTGAATGTTGATGTGTAGCGAGTAAGTATGGCTGCAAAGTTCAGTATTTTTAGCAGGTTTATTTTTTTGGAAACTCCATACATTCCAATGGAGCATTTTTCCTCGGTTCTTAGAGATTTTGGAAGGCAGAATAGTCACACTAGAGCACACATTAATGTATTATGAGGCATGTGCTAGCAATGCTGCTGGAGGAGTAGCGTGCCACTTTTTGTACAGAAGGAAGATAATAGAGAGGAAGACGAATAATACAGAGTGTGCTCTGCTTTGCAGCCACACTGAAAAATACAAGTAGGAGACAGAATTGAAATTCTATATTTCTCCGGCGGCAATATAGACAATTGGAAGATAAACATACTTAAACAGAGAAGGTCTCTGGACAAAAACAATATACGTAATGTTTTATACCAGTGGTTCCCAAATAATTTCAGTCAAGCCCCCCTTTGGACACAACATTGGAGCCCCCCCATACTAATTGGATCGTACCTTTTTTGTTTTTAATTAATTGCACTATAGTATGTAAAGTCTAACTCTAAACTATAACAATTTATAACATATTACTTATTTATAAAATGAATACATATTACCTCACTTTTGCACTTCATTTTATTATTTTCGTTTTTACGAAAATAAAAAACAACAGACAACAAACAAACACAAAAAGTGCAAACATGTTGGCCATTTTTCATTTAGAGGACTTGAAGAACCCCGATGTGTGTGATGATATGGGCACTGGATGTAATGTTGCTTTTTATCAAACCTCAAATAAAACAACAAATCCTAGCTGGAGTACCACACCTTCCTCAATTCCTGCTGCCGTAGACTTCATCGGGAGGAGAGTGATGACAGCTCTAGAGACGCATGTCCTGTCCTTGGTCTGAATCTGTGAGATAACCACACTCCTGAATCTGTGAGATAACCACTACTCATTAGGAAAGGAAAGGAAATACGTGTGAGAATAACTGATTTAAATTGGACAGTGTGAAGGGGAAAGAACTGAAATGAGGGCAGGCTGCTGTGCATTGAATCTAGAGAGGAGATGATGGAGCAAATGAAGTGTTTACTGATCAGATTTGACGTAGAGACCACCAGCCATTACTTCCCTTCTGTGTGCAATTGTAACACATGAAAATATTGTCATATTGTATATTTGTCAACAACTGCTTGTCTACCATTTCACACAAGTGTTTCTATTCTTATCTTGCTAATCCTCTATAATGATAGAGACCTGCTCTTCACACATCTACTCACCCATTATGCAGAAAAGGCCATGGTTCAATTAGCCCATAGTTTAAGGGTGGCATTTTGTTAATTGCAACATTAAAAGGAGATAAATGACAGCACGGCATTCAGTCAGCCCGGGGAAATAAGATCCTCTTGTAAATATCATCATCTCTCATAATGAACCCACAGTAGACAAGCTGCTTCAAACCAGAGAAAAACAAGCTGACTGTCACTGTTTGGGTTTGTGTCTTATTTTGTAGTTTTCTGCCTCTCGTGTTACTGGGTAACTTCACTTCCTGCCTTGTCCTGTCATCCCCTGTGATTGTCTGATTGTTTACACCTGTGTCCAATCACCTGCACCTTCCTAGTGTATTTAAGCCATGTGTGTCTCTTGTGGCGTCATTGTTCATTGTGAAATCTTCAACGCTGTGAGTTCCTGCGTTTTGCCGCCTTGGCCTTTGACCATTAAAGTCTTTTGTTTTTGAAGTCTGCGTTTGAGTCCTGCTTACCCGCCTTCCTGACACAAGGTCCAGGTACAAAGCATTAAATTGAAAAAACCTGCAAATCACCTGCACCTCCCTAGTGTATTTAAGCCATGTGTGTCTCTTGTCGCGTCATTGTCGCTGTCGGACAGGTGGGGAAGGCAGGACTCAAACGCAGAGATTCAAAAAACAAAAATAGACGCAGAGACTCCAAATCAAAAAAAGGCCAAGGGAGAGAAACACAGATATGAACCAGGAACACCCTGACTTGGACTTCCGGACATTCAACAATGAACAATGACTCGACAAGAGACACACAGGGCTTAAATACACTAGGGAGGTGCAGGTGATTGGACACAGGTGGAAACAAGGCCGGGCACTAGGTAATGATGGTCTCTCCACTGACTTCTACAAGATGGTCTGAGACATCCATGGTCTTGACTTTTAGAACAGGGTCTTTTCCTTTCACCCACAAGCTGTGCTTTTCTTGCTGCCGAAGACAGACGACCTGGAATTAATTGTACAGTCAGATCATACATATTGTGTACCCGACAGGCCAATGATTGATAACCCTATCTATAGAATATACACACACTCATAGGCCACATTATCAGGTACTCCGTTCTAGTTAAAGGTTGGACCCCCAGAGCCTTCAGTTATCAAGTTCCTCTTTTGTGGAACCAGCTCCAGTCTCAGTCAAGAGGGCAGACACAGTCACCTCATTTAAGAAAAAAGCATTTCCTATTTGATAACACTTATAGTTAGGGCTCATGTCGGCCTCGACCAGCCCATAGGCTGCTACAGGCCTAGACTGCCAGGGGACGTCTTAGGACGCACCGGGCTCCTCTCTCACCTTCTATAATCCACACCTCATTATTGTGCATCACTAATTCAGCTTCTTCCCCAGCTTTCTCTCCTCTCAGGTTTCTGTGCATCGTGGTTCTATCTGATGGTGGTTCTATCTGATGGTGGATGCTCCTGCAGTGGTCCTGCCTGACATCCACTGCTACTGTCTTTGGGCAATATAAAATAAAATGAGTTGTTTGAATAAAATACACAAGGATACACTGAGTTTAGAACAGAAAGAGCTTTATTTGAACAATAAAAAAAGGCACAAGCCAGAGGTCTCTCTGCTTTTTGTTCCACGGTTGCAGCCTTTGTTTGCTATGTGCTAGTTCAAATTCACAAACAAGCACAGGGCGCTGTCTAATATCTCAACAGAAGTCATATTCAACAAAGTGTTTGGCAAACAGTCTCTTGGGTCTGGCTTCACAGAAGGATTTTGACTGTCCACAGATTCTCTTAATCTCGTATTCTGCTCGCCACTTGCCATGTTAGATGTAGTATTTAGTATGCGCAACATAAAAACAACCCTTTTCAAATAACAGGGCAATTCCTAGACTAGAAACAATATTATTCAACACAGCATTGGTCCATTTAGAAATCCAATTATATAACAAATCCTTCACAGCACAGGCAGCAAATCATGAACATAAAATCTTATTATCTTAAAAAAATAATCTCTTAAATAAAACAAAGCAGAGAAAGAAACAGATAAAGAATATTTGATGTATAAACATGTAGTCACCAATAATCCATCAACCTGACGTGAAGTGGCTTGTCCATTCCACCCAGTCCCATTTAGTCCCATTTAGTCCCCTTTAAACAAATGAAACAATGCACCAGTCTAAAGGACGAGAACTAACGTCCTATATTCAACACAAGAGTTCTACTACGACGGGGAATGCCCTGATACAAAACCAAACCTTGTTGATCTGAGTGAGTGACAAAGAAAACATTACCATGTGTCACGAGCGCAAACCACTGCATTGTATTTAAGGTGGTTAGAGTGGTTCCACGTTACCATCTATGTGCAAAGGCTGAAACACTCACAAAGCAAACTCCTCTCAGAGGTCCAGGCAGTCGCAGGCTGAAGGGACGTCGGCCTGCTTTAGTGCATATATTCCAGGTTCTTACACAGTAATTAAAAATGTATAGACAACAATTAAAAGTAAAAGTGCTACAGTGGTAATGACAATAAAGCATGATAAAAGGACATCCAGCAAGGAATCATTTGCACGTGATGTTTCCTGCAAACATTATTTAACGCAAGCATTATTAAACGGTTGAATTCAATGCAAAATAAACTGTGTTAGAATGCTAGCAAGCTATTTGGGGCTATGACCTCTTTACTCCGAGGTCTGCCTGCAAAGCAGATTAGTCCATTGTGTCTCCAACCAGCAGAAACAGTGATCCATCGATCACTTGAGACATATGTTGAGGTCATTACCTCAACATATCTCTCCAGTGTTGTTAAATATATTTGACGAATGTAGTCACCATCAAAAAAGCAAAGTGTGTTGCTGCCAGCAAGCCCCACTGATTTTTTTAAAGAAATATTCTGTAATCAGTAAATATTAATAAAAACTAAAGTAGTTTTCAGGGTGGAGGACTCATGTCGGAGGAGCATGATGATAACACTGTGGTCAGCCAAAGAACTGCTGATGTGGCTTATGTCTTAATGCTGAATGCTATCAGATCGTCTGATGGTGTGTCAGAGGAGAGCCACTCAAAGAAAGTGATGAGGAATTATCACATGGATTGCTTGCGGGTACCTGTGGGGTTCCTACACACTGAAAATGACTTGAGTGAAATATAATGGGTTTCAGTGACAGGAGAAACTGTGATTCCATTGTAACACAGACAAATGAACAAAGACAAAGGCTCAGGACCGGGACCAGAACCGGGACCAACCGGGACCAACCGGGGCCAGGCAGTCTGAGTTGGAAGGACGGCAGATTGTCCAGTCGGGTCAGATAGTGATGCTGTGCTGGTGCAGTTTGGCCACAAGGACCTCGTGGGTTAAATTATGTCTTGTGATTATTCCAACAATCTGGAAAAGATGGCAGACAACAAAGAACCAGACACAACATAAGCTCTGTATGCTGGACTGAAACATAACATTTTTATTTTATATTATTTATTAATTCCGCCTCATGGTCTTGATGGTCTTAGGGTATTTAGAAAAGGGCTGCATAAAATGACTACTTACTTCTCCTACAGCGTTAACCACGGGGAGGTGTCGCAGCCCCATGGTCCTGAACAGGTTGAACACCTGGGAGATGTGGGTGTTGGGCGACACTGTGTAAGGACATGGGTTCATGTAGGGGGCGACATCCTGGGAGCACAGGGAACATATTTTTTTTCATTGACTCGTTTTTCATCTGTATTGAAATATCAAATTGAATTCTTATTTTCTTTCCCTATGAAACTTTGGACAGGTCGTACCACTATCATGCGGGGGTTGAGCAGGGCCAGATCGAGGTCATGGATATCAGGGTACCGCGGGTAATCTTCAGTCATCTCTGCATACGACAACCTGGGCTGAGTGGCACTCTGGGTGTAAAGAGGAAACCCGTCACAAAACAAACTGAGCGAGCGAGCGAGTGAGTGAGTGAGTGAGTGAGCGAGAGACAGACCGACTGGTTTTCAGCATAGCAGACCCCCCTGATGAGCAGGTTGACCAGCTGGGAGCGCAGGATGAGGCCGTGGAAGGTGAGTGGTCGGAAGCGCTCCTCCATCGTCCACTCCTCACTGGGAGACTGGTCTGGGTTCAGGTTGGGGTAAGGAGCGTGTCTGCATGTGGACAGCAACAACACAAGACATATTACTGTACCAAAACGAGACTATACTTATTATATTTATATTTAAATTGCCTAATAATCTAACCAAGAACTTAAATCCAATACAATGCAAATTAATTCCTTATTTTCTATGCATTCATAAATGAAAAAGAAATGTTAACCAACATCATTTCATTAGAGGATTGTGTTTTAGAAGTATATGCTGCTCCCTGGTGGATAACATTAAAACAGTTGATTTCAATGCAGCATGAAATATAATGGCAATATGCAAAACAGGTCAGTCAGTAAATAAAGACAGAATAATTGTCCTTTTAATGAATCTTTTCATTTAACTGTGACTGTGTGAATTAGTTTCCTTTCCCTTAAGACACTTGAAATCTCTCCTAGTACAATAGTGTGTCCTACCTCCTCTCCAACATCTGCTGCAGCAGGTCCTCTCCCTCCTCTGCCGGCTCCACCGCCACGTTGTGTTCGTCACAGACGTTCCTCAGCTCGCTGGACGGGTACGACTTCATGGACTGGCAGCGGCGCCGCTGTTCCCCCGCACGAGACACAACACTGGACTTCTACATTCAACCGTGGAGGAGAAGAACGCGCCATCAGTGCACACGAGACCCAGATCCATTCTAACACCCTCAAACACAAGGGCAAGTTATACTGCTTCATTCATGTTTTGTGTGATCAGGACAGCCAAATGCTGTTCTCATAATTCACTTAAAAGTTGTATTAGCGATTAGGGCGCATTTTATTCATCGATTGACTGATTAGAAACTCTTTTTGTTCCTTATCGACGTGTTAAAAGGCGGAAATGCAGTGAGAGAGCTTATTGTCTTTATTGAGAAAAAATACACTGAGGCTCTAATACTTGGTCCTTAGCTGATGACACACACCTCTGCCTCCACCAGCTCTACACATCTGTCTTCATCCCTCCTCTCTATGTCAGACTGCGAGGCCTTGATGGCCAAAGATGTGAAAAGCCACTGGTTATACCTTGAAGCGGATATTGTTGCTGACCAGGATGTTTCCCTTCATGAAGTCCCGTTCGTTCTGCCGGTTTTCAGTGACCACAGGGAAGGCGTTATAAACAGTAGTTCGCAGGATGCTGACCAGAGACTGGACCCGGGTGTGGGGGTACACATAGGTCAGGTTTGGCTCCATGATGTCACTGGCTGTCAGCCTTGATCAGATGACGGGAAACAAACACAAAAGGATTCACCCAGGACGGGTTGGTAAGGAGGTGAGAGCTGATGCCCATGTCTGACCTGGAGAAGCGGGGGACTGCAACAGCAACTTGGCAGCTCTCGCAAGGCCAACAGACGGGAGGAGGAATAGGAGTTTCCTTACCATTACATCAGGGGGCAACACCGCCCCCCTAGAAGGTCAGTTATTACACCAGATGTCATTTAAGGTTACTTTTCCTATAGAACACGGCTGTACTTTGTTCTTGTATGAAACAAACTAAGTATCTTATGTCATCTTTCATATTTATCGAACCTGTCCATTTCAACCTCAGTCTCCCACTCCAGCAGCGGCACTCCTCTGAGCTGGATGTGGATGTCATAGATGCCCTTGTTGAAGAAGTCTCCAGTCCACTTGGCAACCTGATGAACACAAATCCATTTACAACAGGAAGCACACAACTGAATCATTCACACTTCTTAAGACAAACAGGAAAAGATTTCATACAGTTGTTAGAATTCAGCGCTGAAACACGTAACATGACGTACCATTAGAGTGATCATGATGGGCAACCCGTATGTGATTTCATTGGTGGATTCAATGAGGATGACAGTCAGACTGATGGTCATTCTGACTACGCCTCCGAGGAAGGCAGCAGCTCCAATGAGAGCAAAGGTCCCCGAGTAGATGTCCAATCCCAGTTTCCTAACAGAAGACAGACACACAGTAAGAAGCAGCATCGCTCCACTCGGAGGGCGAGAAAGAGCAGTAAAGGAACGTGTGTGGAGACTTTAACCAACAACCGTCTCCCCCACCTTCTATTGTATTGACACGCATTCCAGCATGTGGCTGTGAATCTGTATGACCCGGGGCGAGGTCACCGAGCCCTCTGACACAGCAAGGGTCTTTGTTTAGTCATCAGGTGGGTCTCGTATCTCATCTCTCAGATAAGTTAAGTTCACCAGCTAGTCTCTGACCGACGACGTGGCTCTTAGTGAGATCATTTAGTATTTCATAGCCAGTGGGATGTGGGGGCAGCCCACATAGAAGACATTGTTCTTACACTTTGAGGATGTTGGCAACCAGACGCCCAAAAGCCGCCCCACAGAGCAGGGAGGGGACAAAGAGGCCGCTGGGTACAGACACGCCGTAGGTCCAACAGGCCAACAGGAAGTACAGCAGGAAGAAGACCGACAAAGTCACAGGGCTGAAGGTACCTGACGGGAAGAGCAGTCTTCATTAGGACTTGACATTGAGTAATATGGAGCACCTCAAAGTGAGCGATAGGAAGCTTGGAACATTCTTAGCACGGCACTATACCCAGAGAGAGACTTTTGTAACGCATTCCACAGTTTCACCTACTGTGCCGCGCTTGGAATGACTGAAATGGGCTTGGCCGCACCACTGAATGCAGCTCTGCGTAAAGGGCTTGCGCATATAAAAGGCAGTGTATGGTCTGCAGGGTACGATCAATCACCAGTAGCCAGTTTGACGATTAAATTGTAACGACAATAATACTAACAGCCCAGCTGAACAACACTTAAAAAAAATCTGCTAGGAGTTTCTAGAGAGTGGCAGGGTTTAAAATGATATCATTCAACCAGCAAGCAAAGGTTCTGAATGTGTGTGTGCATGGATCTCACCCTCCTGGTGGAAGAGCTGGTGGATGGCGGCCTCCTGTGGGTTGAAGAACAAGGTAGCCATGTCGTTGTACGTCTCGTTGGTGCAAAAGAACTGTCGAATGGTTGAGTTGATGTCCTCACCGCCGGACAGCTAAAAACACAACGATCACGACTTAAAACCCGTTGGAGGAATGCCATGTCACACCCAGGACCCAGGATATGACGCGACCTGACAGACGGATCAACCGTGGAAAAACAGCTGCACTGAGTAGTGACAGTGAATAGCTGCTCAACAGCGGGACGCTGAAAGAAAGGGAGCTGCTACTTACTGTGGTGTTATGGGCCGCGGGGGAGGAAAAGTCACGGCATTCGCCCAACAGAATGGACGCCGCAAATATCACCACGGTCGTCACCATGCTAACCAGCAGACTTTCGAGAACTCTAGAAAAGTGCATCAGACCAACTACCAATGAGTGATTACACGCCGCAACGGACACGAGCACCACATCCCCCCCCCCCCCCAAAAACAGGCGAAGACTGCGTGAACACGGCCTGGAGCACTCACCTGATGAACTTGGCCTTGGGGTGGATGTGCTTGATGCGATACTTGGACAGGTACTTGTTCAAGCAGTTGAAGAGCGCCCCCAGCAGCCCCCCCACGACCCCCATCAGGACAAAGAAGGCCAGGTCCACAGCTGTCCACAGGTGGCAGTTCTTGTCTCCATCTGAACACTAAAGACCAACAGGGTAACACAGCTACATTAGTAGGGATGCGTGTTCACTTTTTCTCTCAACCTGCTCACATAAATCAATGCGCTACATGACGCAACTCACACATTTCATACATTTAAACACACCTGAACCACCAAAAACACCTGGGAATCCTTACAAGATGCAAATAACGTTTGTTAAAGTTGATCCGAGTTTGTCAGCAATAAAATACAAGACTGAATATAATGATTTCAAGAATACATGAGTAGAAACCACACATTTAAACAGCTATTTTGCGTCAAATGAGGAGACAGCAGGAACGAATGATTTCTTTACTTTGAACTCTCCAAAGTTGAGCAGACCAGGCAGCTGGAAGGAGCCCCACTTGTTAAAGTTAATCCCAGAGCGGAAGAAGTTGAGGGTGAAGGTGGCCGACATGGAACAGAAGAGCTGAAACAAAAAGGTGACAGAAGAGCTGACAGAGGAAACCATTGCGCGCTGCTCTACAGCTGTGATGAAAGTGCAAAGCTGGCAGACAGCTGGACGATATATTTCCCTGGTTTATTTGCATCATATCGGAGGTATAAGCAGGTGAGGGATGCCCACTTTATGTGGACCATTAGCCTCTGCGTAGAGTACTCATGCCCACTTGAACCGACACATTCAACCAGTGTTAATAAAAAAGGCAACTGTGGCCCAGCGATAGAACAGGGTTTGATGCTTGAGGTGTCCTTGGGAGAGTCAGCAGAGAGAACACAACTTTTGGACTTGTGCGTTCATTGAACAGGGTGACGCACCACTTTCCAAGTGAGGGCCTGGTTCCAGAAAGAGGAGCCCTCCTCCAGACTGAAGAGCGTCCCGCCTATAGGAGCGCCAAAGGCAGCGGCGACTCCAGCAGCAGCACCCGCTGACACAAAGTCCCGCTTGTCCCTGGAAAGACACACAATGAGCTGTACCTCACAGTGTTTGCCCATAACGGGACGTCTCCGGAAGCATCGCACAGTGCTTTGTTAATAACGGTGCATCACATCCATACCTGTCGCTGCGGAAGTAGGGAAAATCTAATTTGATCTTCTTGAAGGTGATGCTCTGAAACTAGTAGGAGTAGAACAATGTTGATGATCAAACCTCCACCATGATGAGCTTAAGAAATACCACATGAAGTGCTTTTAAAATACCATTCATGATATTTGGACTGTTAGGGGCCTAAAGTGCATTTAGGCTTACATGCAAGGCTGGGACATGGGTATGTTAGCATTAACGCTAGCTATGTGTAGCTGCTAGTCAATCACAAGCATATGGAACGGGTAACGGCTACTCTCTACTGGCGTTAATACTCCTTTGGTTGGTGACTAAAGCTGCCTCGTCATATGACATCCGCCTCCGGACCAGCCAACAGGACATTGTTAACACAACATGTAGAATCCAAAGACTTAGAAGGACTATGTCATGACCTTGATCTGAGTTCTCATTAGGGATTGTTTAGGAATAATGACAGCAAGTCAAAGCTGTTGACTGATATATTGTGTTGTTATGTCCCATCTGTTAAGTGTAGTGCTGCTATTTTGTTCTGAGGAAAGAAAAGCTGGAGGTTAAAGTGAATTATTACATGCGTAAATAGGTATTACTGTATACGCACACAACATTTTAAAATAGTAATCTCATCATAAGCAGCTAAACTAGTCGTACTTGTAGGTGTGGACATGTGGCGGTGTACCTGAGGAAGGCCGGCTCCCACAATGGCTCCGCTGTGTATCATCGGACCTTCTTTCCCCACAAACAGACCTGAGAGGACAGACACGCAGTCAGAGGTCCATAAAGTGTACATAAATGGACAATACGGGGGGAGGGGGGACGCTACAGTGCGGCCGATCGTGAGGTTGAACCTCTGCGGCTCATTTTATCGCATGTTGCAACAGACCTGGTGACTGTCACGCTCAACGCGGGACACTTGTGCGCCCGGCAATGTTGTTGGTGGTGGTTGTAATTTATTTGCTGAAGAGCAAATAAATTACAACCATCGGAATTGCTGTCTGAATTATAATCAGACCCCCCCACTTAAAAAAAACTCTTCGGATCTGCACAATTCAAACTGACGTGAGAAAAGCAAGAGGCGGCGTAAAGCGCGCTGTTTGCGTCCCTGCATTTTGCTCTTTGCTGATGGGGATCCTCCCTACAGTGTTACTTTGTGTGTGCTCGAGATGTCTGCTGTCAGCTTAGTAGAGTAACATTTTCTGGTGCACGTTACTAGGCCTGTCGCAATATGCGATAAAGTGACATATCGCACACTCTTAGAAATTGCGTGCAATAATGATCGCGCTGCCTCTGCCCCTTTTCCTTGTGGAAAGGGGGGCGGGGCTTATGCAGCGCGCACACAGACACGGAGCGACACCGACACGTGAAGAGAAGCAGTGAACCCAACTAAGCTGAAGTCTCGCCTAAAACAACAACCATCCGCCCGTCTTTCAACCTAAACTACTTTCCGCTGGGCACATTTCCTCGAACCCAACCGCGTCGCACCAAGCACGATGCTTCGTCCGATGCTTCGTCCGATGCTTCGTCCGATGCTTCGTCCGATGCTTCGTCCGATGCTTCGTCCGATGCTTCGTCCGATGCTTCGTCCGCCTTGCACTTATTTTTTTTGTTTTATTTATATAGGATATATTTTTTCCACACTCCGATTCTAATGTCTCACTACTCTGACAAATAAAACGTTCTTTGTTCTTTGAAGTAGCGTACTTTTATTACTATGCTATTATATTGTCATAATTCAGTGGCATGAAATGGTCTGAAAATTGCAATAATCGCACAACAAATATTTGATATGGTGACAGCCCTGCACATTACATACTCTACTCGTACTTTACCTCCAGCCACACTGAACAGGACTCCAGCAGCTTTGCAGAGAAAAGTTCTCAGCCGGACAATTCCTGGCATCTTCACTCCGTTCAAGTAACTCTTGATTTCAGGGATCCCCGAGCCGGCAGCTACTGGCTGGAAACAGGACACGAAGGCATAGCATGTTCTACAGATTAGTGTATTCTCTAGTATGACAAAAAACTCATACTCATCCTCTTGAAGTATTTTTTTAATTCTTTGTCAAGAGTTCCAGGAGGGAAATGTCACGTACATGTCAGTACGGGTTCAAGCTCGGGTAAAGTTAAACATGATAAATCCAAAGAAAAGAACCACTCATTAGAGCGGTCTTACCTCAATGAGGACGAGCACACTGGCGATGAAGACGAAGGTCATGTTGAACCCCAGGAGCTCCAGCAGAGACAGAGGGAGACAGCCTTTGTCCGTGCACCTCTCTACAGCTGGAGGCATTCAGCTAAGGCAGAACAATGCAACACTCAGGAGAAGCCTGTCTCTTTAGAATACATCCATCCATTGTTGTCAGAGGTATTTGACTGTAACAAGGCAACACGTTTACACACAGCAGTTATATTTACACATTGCATGCAAGTATCACAACTAGCTGCGACTTTAACACTCACAAACTGTATTTAGTGTATACCTCGTTTTCATAAAGGTTGATCTCATGTGGATCATTGAACTCGGCCGTGTCCCGTTTACATGAGTGTTAAAAGGATACAATCACCAACCACAGTGAATTTGATTTTGCTGAAGAGGCGCACAAAGAAATCCACAAACAGGCCCACCTGGAAGACACATGAGGACATCGCTTCCTGGTCATCTGCAACATGTTGGAATCCAGCAGACTAACGTACCCAGAATGCACCTACCAGACCCACGGTGACTCCGATGGCGAACATCATTATCCAACGTACTGCTTCATACTTTTTGGCTTTCTATAGAAGACAATTTGAATTAAAAATTTGAAAGAATTATTGTGTTTTTAAATGCATGATTTTTTTCCCCCACTTTTGTGTGTTTTTCGTGACACTAACAAGAGAGTGTACGGCAACAGACTCAGATTAGCCCTGTTTTGGAGGTCTAACTCCATCATGCAATAAAGGCCGGTTGGGGGGCTCGCGGGGTAAAGGGTTTAAAAAGTGACGGCCTGGAGTTTCCTCTCATTTTTGTATCCCCATATTTTCCTAAACTAAATGAATTGTGTTTTAACAGTGAGTGGAAGTGTATGTAACCTGTTGTGATTTACCAGAGCAGCAGATTTTCTATAAGAATAAAACATCAAATATTAGATGCCAGTTTAAAAACATTATACAAGACCAAATTATGTGACGGGAGAACATTAGTAGTTCTAACGTAAAACCCTGTGGAACACCGTGTTTCATTTTCAGGCGATTCGAGTTCATACGTCAGCAGGTTGGTAAATTCCCACCCATGAAGAAAGCTATAGAAACACACATCTGTCGTCTAAGAAGACACACAATACACATCCAATCTGCACGCTCTCTAAAACCACTGTCCACATGGGAGCGATGACTCAACACGGCACGCATGTAAATGGTCCCACCTGGTTGTCCATCCCCTCCAGAATCTCCACATAGGGCTCATTGATGCAGCGGTCATAATCCAAGCTCTGTCGAGGCCCAAACAAACCCGTGTGAGTATTACCAGGGACACACATTCGGTGGCTCTCATTTCTCCCTGGTCACTTGTCAACGTGGAGCTCTTGGCCGTTGTCCCCAAATGTCTCACCTCGTAATCTTTCCTGGGGAGAATCTCATCTTCGTCACCTTGGATTTCCCCAAGAATTGTCTTGAGGAAAAATGAAGTTTATATTTAAACAATAGAGCCGGAGCAGGGGAAGTAAACAGGACATTAATGCTTTGGGATATTCACTAATAATATTTAAAAAAAAACAATAAATTGAGCTTGTTCTCCAAACAGCATTCACATGAGACAACGTTACAGTTACAGGATAGATCCCGAATGGATTTAAGGTCACTGAGGTGCACTGAAGCCACAAACAGCTCCCTGAGCAGCAGGGTGGAGCAGAGAGCCGGAGGAGCCGCCATGCGGAGCTCAGGAGGACTTCTGGGAGGAAATATGTCTGATACAATAAGGAGATCCTCACTTTGACCCGTTGTAATGTATTTGTTTATTTACCAGTTCCTCGGGCGTCCGTGTCTCCCCTTCTCTGCAGCAACATTGGCAACACAAACAGCTTCCACAACACGCCATCTTCGTTTTTGCGTCACGCTGCGTTCAGGGTGGATTGTTAAATTGCCACATTTGTAAATAAACGTACCCCGTAAAACCCGAACAAATCACATATTTAGTGTGTAGAACATGGAACATATAATTTTATAGCGAATAAGACGTTATAAAGTTGTATTTTTTAATATTTGTTACTACTATAGTTGTAGGGTTTTGGGGTTTATATTTCCTATGACATCTAAATGCATCTTAAGCCCTTATACGGTTCAATGTCACGTGAAAGGCTGAAGATTATTTAAGAGTCAAGCCTGCGTTTAATTTACGCATAAAACGTTATCCTTTCATAAACACATCTGATACCAGTAAGATGTATGAACAACACATTGTTAGAACTACTTCACCGATTAGATTGCAAAGAAAAATTATTTTACGAGCTCGTTTTCCAATCATCATCTAATCATATTTTACTACTTACTTACTTATTTACTAAATAGATGAATACACCGTACTGCATTTTCATTTCTGTGGGATAAGCCGTTAAAATATTATTATTATTGTATAAAAATGGGTTTATTTTACGATTCAGCATTGACAAAAAGTATATTAATTCCAATCAAGCTCAACTAAATTAAGACGCACCTCATACTGCGCGAGGCAAATGTGGCGTGTGCGCGATCGAGTGTTCTATTTTTGTTTGATAAAATAACACAATTAATTTGTCTTTACAGCGTATGCACGAACATTGCTTTGCGTTCATGCACTAGCGAAGAACCGGCGGTTGTAAACGCAGCACGGTGTCGGTGACGCCCGCTCCGGGGCATCGCTGCTCGGGACACCCGGCGGGGGGGCGTTCGCTTTTTAAGGGGTTTACAGCGCTGCAGCAGGTAACGCGCTCAGTGCTGCGTGGAAGACGGTCTAGGAAACGTTACAGACTGACACATCACCGGCAAGACAACCGGCAGGTGGAGGTGGGAGACGCACCGTTCACCCGCCCAAAACCAGCCACAACACAAACGGAACGTACCCGGGTTTAGACCCGGCAGGACGGCGCGAGGGAGAGAGTTGCTTCTGAGTGTTGTTTTCGCTTGACGTTGCTCGTGGGTTACGTAGCTAACGTTAGCTCCAGAGAGATAGCGCGCTCCAAATAACTTCACTACCATACTTGGGACGCGCATGCCCGCGCGCACATGTGTGTTATACGTGGTTTTATAATGAGTGGCTTGTGACACGCTGTGGGTCCACGAGGGCTCCCTGACATCCACTCCAGAGATTAGCCTGTTCCGAGTCGGTCCTTGTTAAAGCTCCGTCACGGTATAGGACGCGGAGGCTTTTATGAACGTATGTGAACCTGCAAGCGGGACTTTCAGAATATACTTTTGATTCATTAATTTAGGTAGAAATCATTTGAATTCCCCCCCCCCCCCCCCCCAAAAAATTAAAAATTTAACATTGTTTCATAACATTGTGTAATTTTCCATGTGAAATAACCGGATGCTCTCGTGCTGACCATATGGCTGAAGGCCTCCTCCACGTGTGGACGGAACTCAGTCGGAACCACGAGTGTCTGCTTTCGTTCGCAGCATAATTGGCCGGCATGGTGAACCAGGTCCAGCGAGGCGACAGGAGTTCGCAGTCGTGCAAGAGCGACTCCAGCGGCGGGGAGAGCTCCAGGGAGAGCTCCCGGAGCTCCACTCCCGTGCTGGACGGGGACCGCTGCGACAGGCTGCGGGACAAGATGCGCAGGAGGACGGAGTCCGGAGACCGCTGGTTCTCGCTGGAGTTCTTCCCTCCCCGCACAGCCAGTGGAGCTGTCAACCTCATCTCAAGGCACGTCTCGAGTCACTTGGATCAACGTTAACGTGCTTCTCTGGTGGATGCCAGCCCTCCTGGGATTGACTCCATGTGAACCATTTTGTTTCTTTAGATTTGACCGTATGGGCTCCGGGGGGCCCTTGTTCATCGACATCACCTGGCATCCTGCAGGCGACCCGGGCTCAGACAAGGAAACCTCCTCTATGATGATTGCCAGCACGGCGGTCAATTACTGTGGCCTGGAGAGCATTCTCCACTTGACCTGCTGCGACCAGACCAAAGGGAAGATCACCGGCTACCTGGCCAAAGCGAAGCACCTTGGCCTCAAGAACATCATGGCCCTGAGGGGAGGTAGGACCGATGACCGCGTGCTCACGTCCTGATTTGCAGGAGGGGTTGCGCCGTGAATGGGTTGCTCCGACAGACGCTCATTTGCTTATGCCAGGTGAGGCGCTGAGCTGTGTTCTTCTGACCTCTCCACAGACCCAATAGGAGCAGACTGGGAGGAAGAGGAGGAAGGTTTCAACTACGCCACCGACCTTGTTAAACATATCCGATCGGAGTTCGAGGACTACTTTGACATCTGTGTTGCCGGTACGTTCTCAGCCCCCGTGATCGGGGGAGGACGGTTTAAGCAGAAGTCCATTTGAAGCTTCAGTGATTTTGATCTTCTTGTTTATGTCTGTATGTCCAGGTTATCCCACAGGCCACCCGGAGGCCGAGAGCTACGAGGACGATCTCCGGCACCTGAAGGAGAAGGTTGACGCTGGCGCGGACTTCATCATCACCCAGCTGTTCTTCAGGGCAGACACTTTCCTCAAGTTCCTGGATGACTGCAGGGCGATTGGTATCACCTGTCCCATCCTGCCTGGCATCTTCCCCATTCAGGTGAGTCACTGCTGCTTCCAGCGATGCTGTCCTCCTACCCGGTGATCACAAGTTACACTGTTTGTGCTAGCGCAGTTTAGCAAATTACATTTTTATTCATAATAACAGACCATTCAGGGGCGCGAAGCCGGCCTTTTAACCTGTTCCTCTGCAGGGTTACCAGTCTCTGCGGCAGCTGGTCAAGCTGTCCAAGCTGGAGATACCAGAGGAGATCACCAGAGTCATCGAGCCCATCAAAGACAACGACGCTGCTATCCGTAACTACGGAGTCCAGCAGGCGGTGGAGATGTGTCGCGTGCTGCTGGACAGCGGCAAGGTGCCAGGCCTCCACTTCTACACGCTGAATCGAGAGGTCGCCATCATGGAGGTTCTTCGACAGCTGGGCCTTTGGATAGAGGACCCGAGGTCAGACATCCCTCCACCTGCACACTGATGCTTTGAGCTAAAGTCAGAAGTAGTAGAGGAGAAAGTCCTAGTACCTGCAGGGCCCCGGTATTCTCAATACTCTAATTCATACATATTCCCTGCTCTGCAACATACAGTATTTTTCTTTCTTTATATTACTGTGCTGCTTAAGTTCTCCATGAGAACTTGTACTAGTTCAGTAAATTAACCTTTTAATCATCAGACTCAATTTGATCTGTATCCTGAGCCTGCCTCTCTTAGCTGGGTGGGAATGTCATTCTGGATCAGCTGTGCAGCCACATGTCTCAGATGTTCTGTGGTCCAGTGTTTGAGGGCTTGTGTTCTCTGCCAGGCGGCCTCTTCCCTGGGCAGTGAGCGCTCATCCCAAACGGAAGGTAGAAGATGTCCGACCCATCTTCTGGGCGTCCAGGCCCAAGAGCTACATCTACAGGACCCAGGACTGGGATGACTTCCCCAACGGCAGATGGTACTAACACGCGTGAACTAGGGCTGGGACGTATACCGGTTAGGGCGGTCAAAATTGCTCAAAAATGACGAATATTCGCTTTAAAAAAACACACATATTCGATTATCTGGTTGTGCATTAGGCACGTCAATAACAGGACAAACGAATACGAGACATAACTACTTGTATAGGTAATTTATTTAAGTTTAATTGCAGCACATCTGTCTCATGTGTCCACTGGGTCATGAAACGGCAAATAATCAAACTAGTGCATGAAGCTGTTGTAGCCTATCTAGTCTATTTTATTCGTGCAATATATAGTCAGTATCCAGGCGCACGCCGACCCGCTAAGGAGGCAGTCGCGCTATTTTTTTAAATAGAATTTGTCTTTACCTTTTGAATATTAATTTTCCCATTCAAATAGTCGTTAAATATATATTTGAATATAGAATATTCGTTGACAGCCCGAACACCGGTTCTACCATTCAACAGCTAATGCGCTAACAAGCTAACTCGCTGGATAGTTGCGAGCGGTGAACCGCTGTTTTCAGCGTCAATGAATACGCGTACTCAAGAAAGAAATACTGTGAAACAGCCTGAATCCTCCAGAATGCCGTGAGTGTTTGCCATGCTGCCCAGCCCGAGCTCACAATATCTCAATATGCTGGAGTGTTTATCGTGCTGTTACACAATGATGAAGCCAACTGTCCAACGTCCTGTTGTGGTTCTTTTCAGGGGAAATTCCTCATCTCCAGCCTTTGGCGAGTTAAATGACTACTACCTGTTCTACTTGAAGAGCAAGTCACCCAAAGACGCTCTGCTGCAGATGTGGGGCGATGAGCTGAAGAATGAAGAAAGCGTCTTTGAGGTCTTCACCTGCTACATCACGGCCCAAACAAACTGCAATGGACACAAGGTAGACCTTCTCTGCCCATGACTTCTAACACGCCTCACAGGAAGCAGTGGTGTCTCCTCCTGCGAGCGCGTCAGTAGGTCGAAGTTGGTATAAATGTGGATCTTAGTGGGAGCTGAAAGATGAGGAACACATATTGATGTTGTGCTATGACAGACATTAATGTCGTGCCAACTCTGAAAGTTAATCTCAGTGAAAGTATTTACTTTTAAAATTTTGATCTGGAATTAAAATGTATTTTTATTTTATATAATGGACCATAATCAAAAATATAAACTGGTGTAAAAGAAAAACATTTAAAAACTAAAACCTGGGGCATGCATGTGTACTTGCCACCTTTTTGTATCAAGTGTATCCTTTTGAAATGGAAAGAATATGACACCACGATAAAGCTGCCAAGAGAAACAAAGGATATTAATCAGAGAGCATGGACCACTCTGAAGGGCTGGAGAGCTCCACAGCACCAGTTTAAGGCGTGCACTCCATAAGCGGCGCTCACTGAAAGAGTGCTTTAAGAAAGAAAAAACAAACTTGTTTGGAGGACACAATCTTTTGTCTCTGGCTCAGCAGATTTGAGCTTCTCTCTAAAGATGAACTGGAGCGTGATGAGAGCCCCGCAGCATGAGGCGCCCTTTATGCTGTGTGGCATGGGTCAGGTGCGATATTATGTTAAGTGTGGAACGTATCCACATCACCTCTGCCAGGCATCACCAACTGTCCTTACATCCTGATTGTTCCTTCAGCTTTGTCTTCAGCAAGTGAGACGCATGCTCAATGCATTCAGGGCAGGTGATGATACATCGTGTACATGTTTTCTGATAATAAACCCTAAAGGAAGGACAAAGGCTTCAAGGGTTGATGCTAGGCTTACCATGTCCTGACCCCACTTCTGTACTGGACACATGAGACACACGTGCTGCTGAACATCCCACTCTCTGAAAATGTTCGAAACGTGAGAGGATGTCAGACTAAGGTTTACACTGCTGCCAGGTGTTGTGTTTGCCATGGAACGATGAGCCTCTGGCCCCAGAGACCAACCTGCTAAAGGATGAGCTGGAGAAGGTGAACAGACGAGGAGTCCTCACCATCAACTCGCAGCCCAACATTAACGGCAAACCCTCGGCAGACCCCATCGCAGGCTGGGGACCTCCTGGGGGCTACGTCTTCCAGAAGGTAAATATACAGATCTATTCCTTTTACGAGAGGAGACCTTTTGCTCTGGTTTGTGCTTTCTGGACGGGGGACATATGTTCATATGGTCTCTGGTATCTTGTTTGAAATCCGACAGGCCTATCTTGAGTTCTTCACCTCCAGTGAGAACGTGACTGCTCTCCTTAAAGTACTGAAGAATTATGAGCCCCGTGTCAACTACCACATTGTTAATGTGCACGTGAGTGTGACCACTAAGCATCCTTATTACATGACATTACATTTAGCTGCCGCTTTTATCCAAAGCGACTTACAATAAGTGCATTTCAACCGTAAGGAACCAAAAGAACACAACAGTGAGTTTGTGTTATTGACGTGTCCTAATGAATGTGCTGTGTGCAGGGCCGAAACCTGACAAACGCCCCCGACATGCAGCCCAACGCTGTGACGTGGGGGATCTTCCCCGGCAGGGAGATCGTGCAGCCCACAGTGGTGGACCCGGACAGCTTCATGTACTGGAAGGTAAGACCGACGTGCAGGACGAGAAGCAAACTGTCCTCTACTGGTGATGGGAGTACCATCATCACTCAAATGTTATGTATCCATCTTAATGATGACTGTGTGGAGTGGAAGCACACTTAAAACAATAACTGAACATTGTGAACGTCTTCAGGCCAAGTCCCATTGAGCCGAGAATGTACTTTGAATCCATTATGTACTTCATATCCCAGCTAAAACACTAGATTATATCTAAACCGCTTTTCATAGAATCTGTTATCTTATTAGACAGATTTACATATTACCATTTGCTTTATAATCTTTTCAGACCATGTACAGAAATCAATATTTTCTGGCTGTTTCTACTTGATAATAGACGTATTTAAAGTAGATACTTGCATTAAAAAAAGCAGCAGATCCAGAAATACTTTTTGTGATACGCGGGGACAGCAATATACAACTGTAATGTTCAGCAGTTTAGTAGTTCTTTGTATATATGTTGATGGAAGACGGATTTTCTTTCACATGAAGTTTGGTGATCGGGAGTGAAACTGATTTAAAACTCCATTCGCTGGATTAAAAAAAAAAAAACTAACTAATTAATCTATCTCACATTTTGAAATTCATTAATCTAGATTAATCTCAATTTAAAGTGGTTTTCTTCTAAAGACTAAATCTTATAAATTAACGAGTGATCGCTTTAGAAAACGTGTATTTTCGACATTGAAGTCTAAAAACATACAAAGTTTAAAGTACACGCGTGATCACCTTGGTGGTGAAACATGTTGAACTAGCGACTCTTCCTGCTGTCCTCGTGCACTTTGCTCTCAACGCTCCATAACGGCTGTGTTTGAAGTGCCAACAATCTCCCCACATTTAGCCAGGACGTTTTCCAAACCACTGTCTTTTAGGGACACAGTGGTGGTCCTCTGCAGGGTAGATGTTGTAGACAGAAGCAGGCTAGCTTAGTTTAGCCTAGCAGCTACCAACATGTTTCGGGCAATCAGTCCTAAAGTGGTCCATTTGGCACTCATCCCCCATCTCTTTGGTGGAGGAATCCCTCTGCACAGTTCTTCTTTTTGTTTTACCTCCAAGCTCTTTCCATCTTAACTACCGTGAGGGATCAACGCACACCGATGAAAGTTGAATTAACTGCGCTAAAATATTTTCGGCTCATTAATCTCACCCACAATAATCCCATTGAGCTGAAAGGACATTCTGTGAGCCATAACTCTTGTTCTCCCGTTGTTCAGCTATGTCCAATCGCTGCTCACACTGTGTGTGTGTGTGTGTGTGTGTGTGTGTGTGTGTGTGTGTGTGTGTGTGTGTGTGTGTGTGTGTGTGTGTGTGTGTGTGTGTGCGTGCGTGGTTTGAAACCCTTAAGGATGTGGATCAGATCGCTGTGGAGAAAGCTTGTGGAGCAATCTGCTCTGGGGAACATGCTTCCATTTTGATTTTGTCTATTAATTGATTCATTATGTTTGTATATCAATAGTAGGGCTGCAACTAACAATTATTTTTGTTATCGACTTTTTCCGATTATTTGAGTAATCTAGCGATTATTTACCACCGTGTAGGAGCGTGGAAAGTATTCCATTTGGCTACAACGTGTGATCGTTTATTTCCATCCAATCACTTTGGATTTTGAACGTCAAATGTATTTGAGTAACAAGTTAATACAAATGTAATCATCATAATAAATACATTGAATAGTAATATAAAAAAAAAAATACAAGTGCAACGCATCCTCCACGAGACGTTCTGTTCTCCGACACGTAAGTGATAAGCTAACATGGCTAGCGTTACTTTAGTTTGCTAAAGCTGCCCATGAGGAGAAGACGTCGTGGCTCCAGCGCGTTTTGAATGTCCGTGCGTTGCCGTGATGCTGCTGTGAAACGACAACTCTGCTTTGCTTTGGTTCGCTGATGAAATACTACCAGACCTTTTCGACTCGTTCAACTTGATGAACTTCTTTTCCTTGGTGCATGTAGACAATAGAAGCGACGGCGCCCGCAGCACTTCCTGTGGTGTATTGCAATGCTGAAGGAAAAAGACCCGTAACTCTGAATCTTTTTATAATATACGACGCGCCGACAATTTTTTATAATTAACGTCGTTGATTACGTCGACTAATCGTTGCAGCCCTAATCAATAGGTAATCTGAATACATGATTTGTTTGTTTTCAATGAGAATTCTTAAGTCGTTCACAATGTCAGAGGCTCCAAGAAGGATCCATTTTTGTATTCATTACTGTTGAAGCGTTTGACCGGGTAGGACTCCTCTGAGCCATCGGCACGAATGGAAAGTTCCTCTGATTTAACAGATTCTGGTGGTCCGGTCTGACACGATGAGTAGTTCTGAGGAGTAGTCTGTGTCCAGCCAGGCGGATGTCCATTTCCTCAAGCCTGTCCCCGTGTGTTCCCCAGGACGAAGCCTTCGCCTTGTGGATCGAGCAGTGGGCCAAGCTCTACGAAGACGAGTCTCCTTCACGCATGATCATCAAGTACATCCACGACAACTACTTCCTGGTCAACCTGGTGGACAATGACTTTCCTCTGGAGAGCTGTCTGTGGCAGGTCATCGATGATATGTTCAAGATGCTTGATGCCCCTCCAGAGCCTGAGGACGGATCCGTCTCTGAATGATTCTATGATGGGATTGTTGCTGCTTTCTACAATACAGAGCATAGACTAAGGAGTGTACCTTGTGGTATTTTTAAAAGAGTTTTTAAGAGTGAATAGAAAGTGGAAGCACACTATCAAGGGCTAATCTGCGCGCACATGGCCCTCGCAGCAGCGGACAGACTATTACCTATACCTCGACACCCTCCTAAAGTTGGAAACCTAGAGGAAACACTATCTCAGCCAACCAGTGTTCAACATGGACTCTCTTTGACCTCCATGATCCGTAGCTTCACCGCACACACTGCTGATAAACTACACCTGTGTGCATACAGGTTTGGGCTTTCCTTAAGAACGGAGCTCACTAAAAAACACCTAAGACAAATGACTGTCTCTAAAAGATTATTTTCATAAGTCAAATGTTGTTGTTTTTTTAGTTTGAACTTGGGGTATAAACCCAATGTAGGTGTACAATGGAGATCTACGGTGTTGTGTATGAGTGAATTTCTGATGATTCTGTAAGAAAGTAAGAGTTGAGCTGCTCATGACTCTGCTGTACCACGGACATAGCTGCCTATCTGCCCTCTGCCTTAACATGTTTTATACGTGAGTCATATTTATTTGTTCTGCCTGCTCACCAAAGCATTAAATCGATTTGAAATACTATATGACTTTGTGAGTTTGTTACTGAGCGTCATGTCATGAACGTATAGGTAGCGGAGTTCAGGCCAGATGACACTGGCCGCAGGTGGGCAGTGTAAACATTCAGGGCCCCGTCCAAACCAAATCTGCACATCACTTCTAAAACATGAGTCATTCCTGCAACAAAAGTCCTCCTATAGAGGCTGCTTCCTACTGCTGTCCTTTTCTTTCTCTAAAAGTCGGCATTATGAACGGACAACTCGTTTCTTAAAGTGAACTAAGACTTTTGATGTCCAAGGTGACATGTAAAGATCTCAGCCTGTCTAGATGGAAGTCACTTTGCATTACCACCAGCGACATGGGGAAGTGGTAAAGGATAGTATGAGGGGGGTCAAGCAGGAGGATGAAGCCAAGTGTGGTCATCTCAAAGCTACAAGGTCATCTCCAGAGAGATCACTGTGGCAGGGCCCAACATGTTTTGATGACGACTTAAAAAACAAATCTACCAAAGGCAGCGGCGAGTAACTGTGGGAATGGTGGAGAAAGATGTCGGACAACTGTAAGAACGATTCAAGCTAACTTCAGAACACAATTTCCAAATCTATGGTTGCCTAGGGGATGAAACCCTTTTCTGAATGGTAAGTCAGTGAGCAATGGAATAGACTTTGATATGTGGCCTGATCCAAAAGGATGGACTCATGATCCCTGGAGATACCACTGTAGAGAGAAACTGTCACACAGGTGTCCGAATATCTGCAGTAAACAACTGGTAGAAAAAGTCTGATGGTATTATTGCAGAAACTCCTGCGTAGAAGTGGGGTTGTACACATGTAGAGGACATGTGAAGAAGCCTCATGCACTGACCTGTGAGCCTCCTTCAGTGCTCATTGTGCACAGGATCAGGATGCTGCACAGCCGCTTCTCTCCTCCTGCTGCTCCTCGTTACCCCCCAGTGGACACGCATAGCACGCTGTATTACATTGTTCCACGGTGGCAATGACTCCTTCGAGTTTCAAAGTTTGGATTTTGCTTTTAGAAATGTAATAACACTTCATGTGACACCTTCACATGGAGCATGATCATCACATGAATGTATTGTAAAGTCTGGACGGTGGTTATTCCTGTCGTGGTCCTGCTATCGTTATCAGTAGTGGTCACATTACTACTATACTGCTAATGTACTACAGCCATTACTGCTGTTATTAGTAGCTGTAGAATGTTTTTACATCATTCTTTTTCTCCATATTTAACCCTGTGTTAAATACTCTGTCACAATCTTCTTTTGGTACACATGACATCCACTGCAGTCCGTCCAGTACACAAATGTGTCCAGTTTGGGGGAAATGATGTTACAGGACAAAACAAGTCAGAAAACTCAATACACACAAGTTTTTCCACATCAAACTATGATATTACATGTATTTATTTAATATTGTGTTTCTCTCAAATGACATACTTTCCACATTATTCTCGCAACATGTATTTTCCTGAAGTTTTAGACTTAATCAACACGGTAGTGCTGAGTTTAACTTGACAATGAGAACATTTAAAAAAGACAAACAATATTGAAACAAAGTATTTTTGTTTTACAATATGACATTAATTTAAATATCCTTACAAAACAAAAACTAAATCCGGTAATGTGTTTCTTCTTTTTACGTTCACGTCTGCTGTCCTTTAATCGTTGAACTACAGTTTAAACGTGCATCCAAAGGGCCGTGTTCTCTCCGTTATCATAAAAGGTGATTGTTATCAGCAAATCTTTGTCATATCCTTTTTTTTTTTAAACGCTGTTCAGTTTAGAACACAAGCATTTCATCACAAATCACTGCACACTTCATTTATTCTGTAATAAAAAAAAATCCTCCTGCTGTTATCTCTCTCAGACACAATGTGTTGACTGGAATCTAGAAACTTTGTAATCCATCTAAATTAATTGCTATTTGTTGATCTGTGTGAATAAAATGTTTTATTGTAGTTGAAAACCTTTTGAATACAGCTGAAAAAAAAGAATAGACACACAATTCCAGTGTTTCATTTTACTTTTGTTTTAAATAGGGTCCTGTCTTTAGATATCTATTGGTACGTATGGGACATTACTTGTATAATACAATAAGTACAATAATTATATCAATGTAATTGTGAATATATTATGTAAAAGTTAGATACTGACTTCAGTAGGTTCATTAGTTATAAGTACACATACAAAGGCTACAATTTACAGTCTGACTTTCTCACTCAAGATTCAGCTATTGTGACGATCAAAAATAATGATAAAACAATTGACATAGTAAATGAAATGATACAGTTATGGGTTTGCTGAGTTCAGTGGTGCACAGTGATGCATGACTGTGAGTCCAATCCCCACTGCTGCAGCTCAACCTCTCACTTCCTTTAAAGTGTGATGTCACAGACGGAGCCCATGGGAACCAAGGAAGTCATCAGTCAGGCCATCCGTCTTTATAACTGTCTGTATGAAGACTAAAGCTCGAATGAAACGGCCCTAACATTAGTTTTATTGGATGTTTGAAACACAACAGCAGTGTCCTTAAAGTGTAACAGGTAACTTTGCTGCACGCCAGATGTGATTGTACAGCAGTTGCTCAAAGGTCAGGGTCGTCCCCCCTGAGGGTGTTGAACTCTTCAGGGGCCGAGTACTTGTCAGCACCCTGACCAGCTGACCGGCGGAAACCCGCTGAAATCTCATCGAAGGTGAGACCCTTAGTCTCTGGAACCTTGAAGTAGGTGAAGGTGAAGAAGCCGATCAGCAGGATGGTGAAGATGACGAAGACGTACGGGCCACAGACTTGCTGCCAGACATCAAAGCATAACATCATTTCATTTGAATTATGGGCACAAGCTATAGTCATGGACTAAAGATAAATGTAGTAGGACAACATTGTCTGATCTTACCTCAACATACGGGAAGCACATTCCTACTAAAAAGTTGGCCGACCAATTTGAGAAACCAGCAACGGCGATGGCAGCAGGCCGGGGCCCCTGGCTGAAGAGCTCGGCCACGATGAACCAGGGAATGGGGCCGGGGCCAATCTCAAAAAAGGCTACAAAACTGAAGATGGCCACAATGCTGATATAGGACATCCATCTGAGCTGGTCCTGAGGAATACAGAAGCCCACACTGTCTATCCCTCACTTTATTTCAAAAGACTAATGCGTAGACAGCGGCCCGGTTGGCCCGAGACACAGACGTGGATCCCAGACCTATAATCGATAACCCAGCGCTGCTATTTTAACCAGCTCAGCCTTTCCAGCGGTCCAGAAAACACACCAAGCCACTAAATGCATTGTAAATCATCATTATATGATTCCACTCAGCCAATCAAATGTATGTATCCTATCACTTGGATTCACTAAACAACAATGGTGTGAATAGAAAGCAATAGAGCGGAAACTAGTGGTTTAATAAACATGTACATGCACACTCCTTTCTCTTATTAGAAGGAATGGGCTGGAATGTGACATAGTAATATTATATCATTATGTGTGGTTAATCAATATATTATAAAATAATCGTGGCTTTTCTGATTGACCCTGAATGAACTGAAGCTGCACAACGGACAATTCAGTTAAATGTTTTTTTTAACTGAAATACTATATTTTAAGATTAACATTTTACAAAGCCTTTCATTTTTTTATTCTATCCCTTTTCAACATTCAAATAAGAGAGGAACAATAATCTATCATTAGGATATTCATTATCTATAATTCATCCTGTTCAATTTGAAAACTGACCATGAATATTGTTGAAATATTATACAATGGAACTTTCTTTATTTGATTTAATTGTCATTGATCATTATGGAGGTGCATCACAGCGTCTTATGGTTGTGATCTTCTGGACCTTTGCTTGAGGAAATTCTCTCTAACTGGAGCCTGTTGAATATTCATTGAAACTGGCCTAGTGGGTTAAGTGACAATGATTTCAAACACATACCAACAACGCCATGGCAACGGTTAGAAGAACAGCAGAAACAGCCATTCCCATCAAACCGGTGAGGTGAAGGGGTCTCCTGCCCACACGCTCCACCACAAAAAGCTGCACAGAAGGATGAATGGATGTTACTACCGAATGGAGGACTCAAGTCATTAGACTGTGATGATTTAGGCTTTAGAACTTACAGAGACCACCGTGAACGCAGTGTTGACCACTCCTGCACCAATAGTTGCGTAGACAGGCTGGGACACGCCTGCTCGCTCAAAGATCCTAGTCGAGTAGTAAAACACCTAAAGATGAGGACATGGACAGTTAGTTGGTGAACATCATGGTGAAAGTGTAGCTCTGGGTTAAATCTTCCTCCAGAAAAAGAATTTACAATGTGACCTATCCAATATATTCTTCCGTGTGATGCATGCAGTCTGTAACTTGTCTGTAAATGAGATTGTGGCATTCCACTTACAGCGTTGATTCCAGACAGCTGCTGTGACAGCTGCATCATGACGGCCACAAAGATCGGCTGGCGGTACACGGGGGAGCGGAAGAGCTCGGGGATGGTCACCGTCTTCTCCCTCATCATCTGCTGGCTCTCCTCCTTCATCTCCTGCATGTCTTCGGCCACATTGTCAGTGCCACGGAGCTTCACCAGGACTAGAACACAGGGCCTCAAGTTACATGCGAGTCTGGAGAGGGTGTGAGTCTGAGTGTGTGTGTGTGTGTGTGTGTGTGTGTGTTGCTCACTGCTGCGGGCCTTGCTCTCCTCGTTGCGGTTGATGAGAAGGTACCGGGGGCTCTCGGGGCAGAGGGGCAGCAGAACACACTGCAGCACCGCTGGCAGCAGAGTGAAAGCCAGCAGGAGGGGCCACAGGGAGGCGTTGCCCATGATGGATTCCATCCCAAAGATCTGCATCGGATTGGATGGTTTTAATAATAATAATAATTACAAAATACGTACTATGAGTGAACTTTATTACAATTGAATCTATATGTGTGTTTTTCTCTCTTTTTGAATGTTACCTCGATTGCGTTCCCTTTTTATGACTGGGTATGACTTAATGTGAGCACAGTCTGTTTTAATTAGAACACAAGCAGAAAATGAACACTCCGAGGAGAACTGGGTGCCTGGCAGCTTTTCTGCTGCACAGTGGAGGACACACTCCCCCTTGATGGAATAACCTTGGCTTGGTTACTTACCCTGTTGAGACTGCTGTGTGTGGATTGATGTGTTTACTCTGACTGTCAGCTTCATCACGTTGGCACAATGCCAATGTCCTACTGACATTAACACCTTAATCCCATTATGACTGGATTATCGTGGGCAACACATCTAATCAACATCCCTAGATTTACCAAGATGCTACGTATTGTATTATTGAAACCTAAGCTTGAGAGAAGCAGCTCCATGTCATAGATTAGAGATTAGAGATGGCAAAATGTTCTCTATTTCAACTGTCGTTAAGCGTATGCACATCTCCCAGAACCAAATGTATCAACAACAGATTTATGTCACTTTCACACACTGACTCCACTTGATGACAGTGGATATATTCATCATACAGAAGATTGTTCTTTAATGCTTTTTATCCAGTCTTTATTTCTCCTGTCAGCTATTATGCAAGACACGGGAGTTCTTTGCATCCCGGCCACGGTAACCCGAACCTTCACATTTGAAAGTGTTTTTTATTTTTGTCACGCCCCAGTGTGTGAAGGCCTTAAAGCTACTGGAGAAAAAATGAGGCCAGTCATACTCTAAGAGTTGGTAAGGACCTCACCTGTGCCATGAGAATGCCAATCACGACCCCAAGTTGATGCAGAGTTCCTAATGCTCCGCGGAGAGATGTGGGTGAGATTTCCTCTACATATATGGGCACAAAGCCTGTGCTGAGGCCGGAGTAGAGACCCACTATGAAGCGACCAATGATCAGCATCTCAAAGGAAGCAGCCAGCTTGGAGAAGCCCATAAACGCAGCAGCAATGAAGACCAGCACGTTGGCCATGAGCATGGAGTTCTTCCTTTAGAGATAATAAAGGTTGTTTAGCATTTCAAGGGGCAGGTGATACTACGAAGATTGGTGGTCAAAGAAAGAATTATACCTGCCGAAGCGGTTGACGAAGAAGCCAACAGAGGAGGAGCCGAACATTCCTCCCACAGAGAAGATGGCCACAGAGAGTGACCACAGACCTGTAAGTGTTCCTTGAGAAATGGGCTCCGAAAACCTGCTGCTCCACGTCTCATTGTAGAAGCTCTCAATGATCTAAATCATAAAACAACACACATTTTGACTCAATGAATAGACAGATTAAATTTAGTTGCGTGGCTCTCTGCACTTATTGACTTCAGAGATCCCCTAACTGTTCATTGATTGCCATCATGAGGTTTATATCATTTGTTGAGACTGAAAAGTCTCAAGAACTATTGGATGGATTACTGTGACATTTGGTGCACACATGGTCGCCAGAAGATGAACCCTCCTAATTTGTTGATCCTTTTTCTTAAGTCAGTGTACTTGGTAGCAAGGGGAGGGGTTAGTAACTATAACATAAAGGCTGCATACAAAGCATTCACAATAAGATGTTGCAGTAAGAAAACAGGACATTTGGTGGAGGGATATTAACCTACAATGCATTGCTATAGTTTGTTTGTATATTTTCCCCATTGGATCATTTCACATCATTGCTATAATAACCATAAGGGGTCATAAGCGCTTTGAGTAAGACTAGAGAGCACTATACAAGTACAGTCTATTTAACATTTATTTATGACCTCATGGTCCACCTGCAAGCACAAGATCTTTAACTTGCCTGGTCACCTAGAGCTCCTTAATCCGTAAGGCCCCCGACAAATGTATGCATTATCTCATTAACCCGTCTTTTCCAATATCTATCAAACCTCCTTCAGAGGCTACCGACTAACTGAGCAGCTTTCAGCTGCCTTAAAGACATTAACCCTGCTTTCCTCTGTACTTGAAGCTTGGCTACGTAAACAAATGAAAAGTCTCTTTGAATCCACACTGAAGAAAAAAAATCCAAATTGGATCTTTTCATTCAAGTTGAAGTTAATTGGGATCAGCCTAATGCAGGCATGTCCTATCGAACATGTCAGGAAAGCTCATCTAGATCATTGGTTTGTGTAACACCCAGACTTGACTTTCTAGGTAGTTGGTCGCTGTCTCTTTTCTGTAGTGTTTTCTGTCATTCAGCCGGCCTCTAGCTTCGACTACCTCGCCTTGAGTCTGGTCCTTGTGGCCCCAGCTCCCTAACAGTTTGTTGCTGAATCGTAATCTTTGTGTCAGGATTGTGTCAATCAGTGGCTAAACAATTAGCATGCGTTAGGTAGCGCACCCCCCCCTCACTTCCCAACACTGGCACACTGCTGCTCTCCTCCTGGCAAAGTGGTCTACCATCAGGGGGGATCGAAAGGTGCTCTAGTAACTAACTAAAAGGAAGTAAGAGTTTCTTTACCCCAAGTATACAAGCGCACATGTTATTGTATGGCGCTGCCACTGTCCACCGTCAACTCTCACACCTTTCTTAATATCTTTTAGATTGTATATGTGTATGTTTCTTAAATATTCTGTACATTTGTGTGTCCCGTTTACCTCCTTCTATCTCACCAACTACAGTAAATACTCACATTCTGAGGAGCGTTGATGACACCAGTGTTGTAGCCAAACTGCAGAGAGCCAATCACAGCTGTGCCCACAGCCAGCATCAGATGGGGCGTCACCTGTTGTTGTGACACAGAAACACAGATAAACGTGTGCACTTCACCAGCAGTCTTGTCATAACTCTTCACCACCTCAGTTCTACTTGTCTTGATATAGAATCTGTGTGAGGAGTTTCAGTGTAGAATTGGTAGGGACATTTGAAAAGGAGTTGGAAAGCTTCTAGTATCACCAGTTATTACAGTAATGTGGAGTTTTTAAGAAACACAGCACTGTGTAGTCGTGAGGAACCTGCAGAACATCACTACCAATCTACTAGCACACTGGGGCGCTTCCCTTTGAGTACCAAAGATAGCGTAGTGTGCGGCCCTGTGTAAGCAGCCAGCAGATGGAGTTAAGCTTAAACGATCAATTAGAGCCATGCTGAGAGGAGTGGGTTGAACGAGAGGTTAATGCTACGCAGATGGACATGTGGTTTGCCTTATCAACACGCCGATCGAAGTTCTGATGGACTGATGGAGAGAGGAGTTAAAACATTGTCTCCCAATTCCACAGTACACATCAAAGCACACAAAGCAGGTTTTTGTGACAAACATAAGACGCAAAGGAGGATGGTTTTACAGTAAGAGCAGCAACACAATTTGGCACACTTATGTTAGTAATTCCATCCTGTGCTACTTCTCAGCCGGAAATAGGCGTTTTAGTCCCCTACATTTATATGAGGTATACATTTTTGCTAATCCACTTGTTGTGTTGTTACACTAAATTATACAAAGTAAGCTACTCGACGTCCGAGCTGAAAATGAAGACACTCTCTCGGTGCATCCCAAGTCTCTTATTTTCATATCTTCTTCAAGTTGTTCTGATCCTCTGTATTGACGCTTCAAACGTCCCAAAGGTCTTGTGTCTGTCTGCAGTAAGGGACAAGGAGCGAGGAAAAGACACAGGTGGGGAAATGTGATGCAATTAAGAGACCTGGAACGCATCCTCTGTTTGTTTAGTTGTCCAAGCTTCACTGGGCTTGGCTAACATAGCCGTCATGCCTTTTAGTGCATGTGAGACCCACTGCGTAAGCCCCCCTGGCCAGCTGATGGCCAGTGGACGCCGCTCCGCACTGCAACGATACAGAAGTTACAGCTTGTAACGTGTCATCATGGGTAAACACTGCTGGCTGCCAGCTCAGCCTTTAATATGTTGAGAGGCTTGTGGTGGAAACCCTGCTTGATTTAAATGTTGAATATTTCAGCTTGAAATACATTTTATTAATATTACCTCTTTACTTAAGCACATTTTCAAATCGGATTTTACTTGTAATTCATAACTCAATTTACACTGTTCAGTTGGTGGTTACCGTTGTCCCACAATGCAGTTTCTTAACACAGGAAATGGAAGTGCAGCCCACAGTTGTATCAAGGTTAATCCCACAAGGATGTAAGACAGAAGCAGAATAATGTGTCTATGGACTATGTCTGTGTGTGTGTGTGTGTGTGTGTGTGTGTGTGTGTGTGTGTGTGTGTGTGTGTGTGTGTGTGTGTTTTCCGCAGTGGGCTGTTTTCATATAATGTTATCAGAGCGGTTGTCTTCTGCTACTGGCTGATTTAAAGCTACCAAACAGAATTTATTTATACAACAACAATGAATATACAAACCTTTAACCTCAATCTTCACTTTACTTTATTCCATCACTATGACTTTATATACACTATATTGGGTGCTACTGTTATCTGCCACACACAACTGTCCCCCATTGCCATGCGTCCTACACAAATAGTCAATTTACAACTTTGTCATGGAGCCCCCTGATGACGATTCAGTTACCTGGCCGCTGCACTCCATCCCGGCTGTTTGGATCACTCACAAAGTCCACACTTAGAAGTATCCTGATCGATAATCCGTCAGATCAGTATATATTCCACTTTTTAGTAAAATAGGTAGTCATAATGCTGTCTGCAATGTTATTAAGTCCAACAACGATCTAAATGTCTGTTGTCAGCCTCCATTCACCTTCTGCCGTAAGCTGCTTAATGACGTCAGCACTAAGTGGATCTTAATGAGAACCAGAGGAGGAAAACTCCAGCGCTGATTGGCTGAGATTACGCTGTAACTTCGCATATGTATACATGTACAGTTGACATGGTCTCTCTTTGACTGGAACCGAATGGTCTTAAAGAATACCTGCAGGCCTATGGAGCCAAATCCATACATATATATATATATATATACACATTTACAGTTGACATGGTCTCTCTTTGACTGGAACCGAATGGTCTTAAAGTATACCTGCAGGCCTATGGAGCCAAATCCATACATATATATATATATATATATATATACACATTTACAGTTGACATGGTCTCTCTTTGACTGGAACAGAATGGTCTTAGAGAATACCTTCAGGCCTATGGAGCCAAATCCAGGTCAAAAGTTTTGATTATCTGAAAAACAAATATGAACCTGAAAGTTTAAGTTTTATTGTTGAAAAATATAACAATTATTCAAAAGTAAAAAATAAGTGGATGCAAAGTATTTTTGGGTTGAAGATAGTTTTGACTGCTTCAGCATTCCGAGTATTGTTTATCGTTGTATCTTTATTGTTGGAATGTTGCTGCTGCTATTAAGTTGGAGTTCATTTTCAAATACTCTTAAACTTCTTCAAACTATTGTATGAAACTGCTTGTTGATATCTATTCAACCACTGTTAATGTATCAGTTTTTCAGTCCGTTTCTGAGATTTACTCTCTATGTAAAGAGCTGGAGTGTGAGATTGGAATGGCAGAGGGTGGACCAGCGTCAGGATCTGGTTCTAAAAATATTTGAAGTTCGTCCTGATTGCCACAAATTCACTCTTCGGGCTTCATTTTTGGATAAAAATGATGGGGTGCTGGTCGTAGTCATGTGGCTATGGAATCCCATAAACGTTTACCCGAGAGCGAGACTAGGTCTGGTGACATTTCTCAATGAAACCAGAAGGTACACTTTTCGAAAACATGCACTCTCGTGTTTATGACACGCCGAGACATACACATGATGTTGAAGCGTTCAGGCGCACAGGCGCACGTGGGCAGCCACCACATCCACACGCACAGTGCTAACGCAGCGCTCGCTTACATGACGCTAACATGGCGCTAGCTAGCATTGCACTAGCAATACCAGGACAGCTGAGAAGTGGCTAAAACTGCCATAGAAAATCTCTAAAGTGTGCAGTCAGAGCTGTGATACCATCCTTCTACAACTTAGGTTAGATAAGAATGAAGTGCTTACAATCACAGAGCCGCCAACTTTTCAAAAAACCTTGAGTGAGATGTTGTCGGGGGTGACCATACGGTCGATGGCGAAGGGGAACGCTACCTACCGTTGGGGAGGTTGAAGAGGAACCAACGCGGCTCGGAACAAAGTCCGACACTTGCGCTCGCCGGGAACCGCAAGGTCAGCGGTTTGAGCCGCAGCTGCTCCATGTCCCATGTTGAAGCGTCCCTGAGCAAGACACCTAACCCCTAATTGCTCATCTAACCTAACCACACATCTCTCATTTCCTGCAGTAATCTAGAGGAAAAATAAAATAAATGGATGGAACAGGTGGCATAGAAAAATGAAAATGACAATAACAATAATCCAAAGAAAAAGAAAATCCTAGTGAAAATGTAACAATGTATTGCACAGCAGATGTATGAGCCAAAGGGTTTAAGAGGCCATGTGATGAGGAAGTACTACGCCCCAGTTGCATCACAGCAGCTTAAGACTGATATGTAGTCCTACCCCAACAGGTTCAACCAGATCATCAAAGTGGAGTGAAGAATTAAAAAAAACTCTCAGGTCAGACTGCCTTAGTGAATGTTTTTATTCAATAAAAGCTCTTCACAACATTTGTTGTAGGTTTGTGCTTCATAATGGTTCCCTACTAGTCTACATGCTGATAATCAAAAGTTCTTTTCATGGGCTTAGTTGGGGGTTTGCTGTCTTGTCTTGATTTAAGAGTTAGGTAAGGGGGGAAGCAGGATGTGCCGAGCAGGCAGACACGAGTCTGACAGGATGGGGAGTTAGTTTCTGTCCTGGCTGAGGAATGTAAGGTCTGCGGGTCAACTAGCAGATTTACCAGCCAAAGGGGGGTTTAGAGACACACCAACACTATTCAACATACACGCTCTGTTCGATGATGTTTACGTTAAGTCAGGAGTCTGGACATTGGATGTGACCGGATCTTTAGATGCGGGGGGTGGAAGGTCCTCCTCTACGCCAGTTTAGGGCCAATAGAAATCTTTCCTTCTCTGTCTTTCAAGGGTTATAAAACATGATGTTCTTGCTGATGTTAGTGAGTTGTTCTTCCGGCCTGTGTGCTGCCTGAACTGCTCCTGCCTTTGCAAACGCACCGCTGATACTTGACCTGTGATCTGACAAATAAATTTCCCAGAACGAGAGAAGTCGTTCGGCTGAATTTTTGATAACCCCGACCAGGCTCCAATTCTTGAACACGTACTCTTACAATGCATGAGAAGACCAGGCGTGCATGGGTCCTCTAAACTATCTGGTCCAAACAACAACCAGTCAGACTGCATACTTCGATGGTGACGTGAGGACACACCCTCTCTGATGAAGGACAACAAGCTGCGCCACTTCACTCCGTCTGATGGAAGTTAAAGTGAAGCACGGAGCTCCTTTTTTACACAGACTTGCTGAGGACAAAGAGAGCTGCACACTGAGCAAGCTCATGTTTACAAGTTCAGTAAGTGAAGCTGTTATTGGTTGAATAACATCATTGATGGTTGTGAACTGTGATTGTTTAAAGCTGGGAAACAAGATGGCGACTGTGTGAGCAGTTAGAGAGAAGCAGCTGTTAGTCTGAATGATGACACTGTGATGAAGATGAGCTCAGTCTGATCGGGGGTCTATGAGGACTGTTACTGATGAGGAGGGGAAGGTAGCAGACGGAGGGGCACTAGGACCCAGCAGGCACTAGGGAATTCACCTGGGCCTTTGTTTCTGCACACCTGAGAGCCTGTTTGCTCTCACCTGCTGATTCAATCCAAGTCCACAAAGCTTCATGTTCATTTTTTCATCTGCTTTAAACACATTTAGTCACTTTTTAGGGGTTGAATGTGTTTTCGTGTTCAGTTGTTCTCTTGTTGATCACCTTTGTAGTCAACCTTTTACTAACTGATCACATGGTGAAGTGAACATTCCCATCAAAAGAAAGCTTTCCCATCTTACCATGGTAACCACACTGTTTCCTATCAGGACAGCTACACGTCATCTTATTGGTCTGTGTTTTACTGACTTCTAGGCTCTGAATGGAGATCAATGGGAGAAACAGCAATGCTCCATATGCTGGAAGATGATTGATTTATAGGATGATCATTTAAAATGGTGTAACACTTCCGTTAGCTTGTGAGTCTCACACCGTACAAAGGAAGCAGTTTAGCTTATTGGTCATCCCAAGGGAGCCCCCCCTTATTTTCTTCACCCCAGTCCACACCTCACGTGCGAGTTTGGTCTCCAGCTTCCTCCTGTAAGAGTCCTTGCACTCTTCACCTCAGGTCTCGCTGGACTCTCCTGAGCTCCTCCCTGTCTCCTGGCCTAAAAGCTGCCTTGTTCTTGTTGAAAATAGCTTTCAAGTCACTGTTGATCCAGGGCTTCGATAATCAAAAGTTCTTTTCATGGGCTTAGTTGGGGGTTCGCTGTCTTGTCTTGATTTAAGAGTTAGGTAAGGGGCAGGCAGACACGAGTCTGACAAGATGGGGAGTCAGTTTCTGTCCTGGCTGAGGAATGCAAGGTCTGCGGGTCAACTTGCAGATTTACCAGCCAAAGGGGGGTTTAGAGACACACCAACACTATTCAACATACACACTCTGTTCGCTGATGTTTACGTTAAGTCAGGAGTCTGGACATTGGATGTGACCGGATCTTTAGATGCGGGGGGTGGAAGGTCCTCCTCTACGCCAGTTTAGGGCCAATAGAAATCTTTCCTTCTCTGTCTTTCAAGGGTTATAAAACATGATGTTCTTGCTGATGTTAGTGAGTTGTTCTTCCGGCCTGTGTGCTGCCTGAACTGCTCCTGCCTTTGCAAACGCAGCGCTGACACTTGACCTGTGACCTGACAAATACATTTCCCAGAACGAGAGAAGTCGTTAAGTCGCTGAATTTTTGATAACCCCGACCAGGCTCCAATTCTTGAACACGTATTCTTACAGCTTGTTATTTGGGAAGCAGCGTACAGTCCTGGTTAGTATTTTAGATTAGATTCAACTTTATTGTCATTGCACATGTACAGGTACTGAGACAACGAAACGTTTGGCGCCACTGTAAGAATTACACCTTTAGCCAGTCAGTCTCAGACTGTCCAGAGGAAGCAACAGTGATTATTATGGTTCAAAATAAGTTTTAATAATACTCATGTGTGTCTCCGTGCAGGTTGTGGTGAACATGTGAAGGTGTGGACCCTGCTATGAATCAGGGTGAGGACCGAGAGGAGGGAGTCCCTCCCAATGAAGCCTCTCTGTGTGGGGAACTTGACAGCCAGACCAAAGCTCAGAGGTGAGACCACCTCCAACTGTCCTGCACTATTCTCCATGTCCCAATGTCTTTGATTCAGTGACTCTAGTTCTACATGTGTGACCAGGATCCATCAGAGACCAGGACCTGGACCTGGAGCTGGATCAAGCCCTGAACTCACTTGTGTGTCCTTGAAGAATAACGGGTCTCTGGATGCTTCTATCATCTTCAAAGACTGTCCCTCTGTTGAAGCAAGGTGAGGGTCTCAGACTGATGATGAGGTGTTTCTTTCAGGCGTCTCCGAGCAGTAAAAAAGCTAGTTTTTATACACATGAAGACCATCGTCAGTGCCAGTTTACGAGAAGCCACAAAGCAAGTTAAGATAAGAACTCAGGTGAAGATGAGGGTAACACACAATGCTTCTTTGATCAAGGGTCTGTGAGAGCAAGTTAACCCCCTTCTCCAGACACAGCTGCAAACCCTAAATCTTTCTGTCTCTGCACATCAGGATCAAACACTTGAGACCTGGCTTTTAGCACCAGACAAATGTTTACAACATGTTTACTACATGCATCTCACATAACACCTCTTGCACTTCTTCCACTATGTCGTCTTATCTGTCTTGTTGTCCATTGTCTGATGGTACGTTCACACCAAAAGACGCGGCGCGTGGGAAGTGAAAAAGCGAAACGAGCAAAGCGAATAAATCGCTCTTTCGCCCGACGCTGTCTAGCGAAAGCCAATCAGTGTTGAGATGCTCGGCTCGTCATCACCGCCGTCCTGCTGCCACAGCGTGATTACACTTTATTAAACAGCCGCTCACCGGAGACACACACACGGCTGAGACTGAACGCCTGTAATTTAGTTAGTGTGTAACCGAGAGACGCACCGATCCGACACAACAGGTCATCAGACTGGCTGCTGGTCCGCCTGAAGCCGCAGTCATCCAGTCGCACTTCCTGGAGGAGTCGGTGAAATTCAAGCTGTGTGCGGTGAACGATGATGTCATGAACCCGAACACAACGCGTTTGCGGTTCCGACGTTTGTGTAATTCACACAACAAATAAAGAGCAGAAGTAGTGGTTATTTATTGCCATGGTGGAAACGATAGCGGTCTTTACGGAGACACGTAAAGCCTAGTTTATGCTTCTGCGTTTTCAGAGCGACGCAGACGCAAGACCCCCTTTTCACACCTCCTTGCGTCCTTACGTGCATCGACCCATTTCTCTAGGCTTTGGTCGAAAGCGACGGATGATCAGATTTAAGAACTTGGAACTCGGAAGAAATGCAAAAATATGACCACTTACAAGCCGTCATTGGCGGGTTGTAGAAGCGGGTTGTAGAAGCGAGTTGGATTCATGGAGGGAGATCTCCACAAACGTCGGTTTGCCGGTCGAGAGGTGCACAAAGTTGTGGAGGAAAATACGGGACAAACGTGTGCGCGATGAAAAGTAGTGTTGACGAACTGACCGAAGAGCCGGTTAAATAACCCGATTCGTGTACGTGAACCGGGAGAATTGGGTGCCAAACGTCAATGAACCGACTCACTCCGGTTTTCAACCACTCATTCGTGCCGGCGCTTCAGTGGCTTGAGCGCGCGGTCGGTGTATGCTCCGTGGTCTGTAATCTGGTTTTATTCTGTGTGTAGTAGGCTAATCTAGCTCATTAGCGCCTCCACTGGAGTGGTGGTAGAATCAATCAGGAAATGGGCTACCTTGATCACGCACGACTGAACCTTAAGAGACTCCTGTACAGTTGGTGGCGGTATACTACAGAGATAGTCATCTACCAAGAAACAAACGAAGAAGAAAAGAACCGTAACAACCGAGTTGAACCGAGTTGTTGAAGTGTTGTGGAAGCACGGTTGCGGTGTGACCGTGAGAGCGACTCGGATTGTTCCCGGTGACTGTTGACTCAATCACTGAATGCTGTACTACTAACGTGGAGAGCCAATCCCAAGAGCCATTGTATAAGCCATGTATAAGTGCATCGAATAAAACGCTGTGATATAATTTTGCTATTTAATGTTTGTGTTTAGAAAACACCACTTTGCAGTAGGCTATTTTGTAACTGTTTATAATGCAGTGCACGGTATTTAAGTCATGAGGTCAGACCGGTCCTGCACTATAACTGAGAAGTTAACGAACTCTTGCCGAATGAAAATTAACGGCAAGTTAGGTAGGCTAGGTTAGGTCTACCAATTCACAACTCCCATTAGGTTAGGCAGGGAATATTTCTATCATGAGAAGCTTACAGATTTGAACACATCACCAAGTATTGATAAACGGTCTACCATAATGTGTTTAGTTGTATTCAGTAGAGTGTGATTAGTCATTTTAATGACATGTAAGAAGTTCTCAACCGTCTTGAACAATTAAACAAAACAACTCTTCAGCAGTATAGGTAGACCACACTCATAAGTATAGACTACATTCAAAAAATGTAGAACATTTTAATGACACTAACAAAAACACAACGACAACAAGTAGGATAAGAAAAAATATAGGCTCACTATCTATTTACAATTATCATATGCATGATTCAATGTGCAATAGTAGGCCTACAAAGTGTCCAGTATAGCAGCGATTCTCAAAGTGTGGGCCGCAAGGTACTGCAGGTGGGCCGCGAGAGGTCATTTACAAAAAATTAATAAACAGTTTTTAATTTTCAATTTTGAAAAGTTTGAAATTAATATAAAAATATGTATGATGCGGCACATTAGTTATGTGAAACATGAATTGATGAAACACAAACAATTTAAATGAACAGATTAGTTAATCGGTTGATCCATACTGGTTGTACACGGCGCTCAAGGTGCTCTGCCAAACATGCCAAAGCTCGTCTACGACGGCGAGATGCTGAGCGGCGCTCAAGCGTGTGAGATATGGAGCTTGTTTTAGGGCGCGTCGGAGAAACAAAGCGCCTTATTGTGCGGAAAACACGGCACATGAGCTCCGGAGAAAATAGTATACAAAACATACATTGTCGGTCAATACATTTTGAATCAAAATTAAATTCTTAAGGTCATTTAATCATCCCTAGTTTATGTTTTGATCAGAGTTGTGATTAAGGTTTGGGTGGGCCGCAAAAGATTTTCAGATTTCAAAGTGGGCCGCGGCATTCTTGAGTTTGGGAACTGCTGCAGTATAGGATAGCCTACATTTAACAAAGTTGAATAGTCATTTTAACAACAACGTAACACAAATATATAAAACAACAATACAAAATGTAAATGAAGAGGGGAACAAGGAAATAAATATAACTATTTAAAATTAGCCTGTGCATAGTGCAATAGGTCATGTAGTGCAAAGTGTGCAGTTTAAGACTACACACACAAAATATTAATATACAAAGGCACATTGTGCATGTTTAGGGTAGGTTTGCATTTAAAAATACAATTTGCCTGACCGTCTCAGGATTAAGCCTGTTCCTCCTTTCTGTGACAATCTGTCCTGTTTTTGAGAAAACGCTCTCAGATGCAACAGAAGTGGCCACGATGGAGAGTCTGGCCTTCACAACTGCAGTAAGACCCTCATAGACCATTTGCCTGGTCTTCCACCAAGCCAGCGGATCCTCACTCCTGGAGATGAGCGGTTCTGCCAAATAGCCCCTCATCTCCATTAAGGCATCTGATGTGGGGTTTCTAGCAGTGACAGCCACAGCCACTCTTCTGTCAAAGTCCTCCCAAAATAATGCCTGGCTAGAAGGAGGATCTTCTGCGCTGGCACCCTCTTCTTGTGGAGCATCCACCTGCCCACTGGGCATCCCTCTCATCACCCCAACCACACTTTTGGAGGCTTCATCAGCAGCCATTGGATGGTGGAAGGCCCGTTGCTTGAACCGTGGATCAACCAGTGTAGCCTCAGGCAGCAGGGTAAAATGCTCTATCCTGTGAAACCTGGAATCTCTGACAACAGCACATTTACCATGTCCACAGCACGACCTGGAGTGGATAGGCCTCCATGAATGCGTTGCACTACTCTGTGTAGACCCCTTGCCATTAAAATGACTTTTGATGCAGTCACAAATCTTGTAAGGGTTGTGAGGTTGGGGTTCACCAATGCCAGAGTTGAAATTATGGCATCCTTCCGGTCAAGTACACGCTGTAGCATGTAAAAAGTGGAATTCCACCTAGTTGTGACATCTTGCTTCATTTTTAGCGGTTCGAGCCCCATTTGTAGTTGAGTGGCACGTAGCCTTTCTGATGTCACTGTGCTGCGGTGGACATACTCTACGATTGCTTTTCCTTTTGCGACAACATCTTGAAATGGTGTCAACGCTTGTTTTACTATTAGGTTAATAGTATGGGCAAAGCAGGGCACATACTTCCAGCCAACTGCATTGATGGCCGCTCTTATGTTGCTGGCATTGTCTGAGACGCAGGCCACCACCTTCCCTGTTATGTCCCCTTCTGCAGCAATCCTCACAAGCTCTGATGCCAGATTGTCAGCTGTGTGTCTTTCAGTCAGAGCAAAACAGTCAAGCAATGTTGAATCGAGCTTGAAGCTTTCATCAATGTAGTGGCAGGTGACAGCCATGAACCTTGTCGTATTCCTAGAAGTCCAACAGTCTGTTGTCAGACACACATCTGACACATTCGATATTTTGTCCGCTACCTCACCTCTTATCTTTTGGAACAGCTGTGGCATTTGTGTCCCGGATAGGGCCTTTCTGTTTGGCAGGGTGTAAGTTGGGTCCAGAGCCTTAGTAAAGCCTCGGAAGCCTTTGTCCTCAACTACGAGAAAATGGTTGATAATCAAGGACAATCATTTTCAACAGCTCCTCATCCAGTTTTTTCTGCCTGTTTGGCCCCATTTCCCGACGGGCATAGGCCCCGATGGACTGCTGCCGGGGTCGCCGAGCCTCACGCTGAGCTGGTGCATTCTGTAGGCCTATGTGTGGGCCAGAGGTAGGAGCCGCTGGAGCAGGAGCAGCCTTTTCTGCAGGCTGATCATCCTGCCTTTGCTGAAGCAAAGCAGTCAGATGTTTGGTCTGCAGATGTCTTCTGTAGTTAGATGGTTTTTTGAACCTCCCATGACCTGACAATATACTTTTGCATATTCTACACTTTGCCTTGTGATGTCCTGCTTCATCAAAATACTCCCAAATGTGGCTTCTCTTCCGAGATGACATCTTGCTACTGACAAATGTGTTGTACTGTGAGTTTTTTGTGTCCAAAAGGGGTGGGGTTTACGGCAGCTGTGTCTGTCTGCTAGTTGACCTCATGACCTCAAGACTTTGCTACTGTATCCATAGTAGACAGCCAATGATTGGACAGCCAATGAAATCACCTCATTCTTAGTTGCTATATGCACTGATTGGCTCTAGGTTAGTCTGGCAAAAAGAGTTACCTCCAAAAAATAAGTCACAACCACAGATTTTTCATGAACAGCAAACCAATTAACACAACTCAAATAAATGTCCATATTTATTTAATAATTTACATTTATATTACATTCTGTCTTTTCAGCTGACACTCTGTGAACTATCATTCAAATCAGCTTCTGTCACGGCTTTGTTTCTGAAACCTACCAGCAATTTAACATCATTGTATCAAGAGTCTGATAAACGGCTATGATAACGATAAATGCAGCATGTAAAAACAACTTGAAATCGTGTGTAGCCTACTCGTTAACAAATGCGGTGCAAGCTATGTAAATGACCCGAAGAGACCGTGGCGACCGAGACCGTGTGAAACGAGGAGGCCGCACACCAAGCTGCTGAACGAGACCGAATGTAACCGTGCACCGTCGAATCTGTAATCAAGCGGTGTCTCGGCAAGTTTGCGCTGTCAACCGATCATTGAGCCTTTATTTCTCGCGCATCTTAGATGTTTGTGTAAAGAAATTCATAGGCTACATTAGCCGACATCACATACAAATACACGTCATCTTGGTAGTTATGTTGAGTAGGCTAAAATGTTTGTTACGGGCTGTCATGAGACCGCACCAGCTACTGAACGAGAACATAACTGCAGGCTACTGCATGACTCTGTAATCACACGGTCTCTGCCTGTTTGTGATCAACCGATCCACGATCCACCGATTCAGGCGTATGGGGCCCCGCCCCCCCCGTTGCGAACCGGTGACCGAATCTATTAACTCGGTAGGCCAACCAACGACCGTCCGGTTGAACGACTCGCATAATAGAGTCGGTTGTCCCATCAGTAATGAAAAGCAGCAGTTTCGATGCACGGGGCAATAAAGACGTGACTCTCTAGGTCGTCTTCAACAAAACACGTTACTCCACCTGTTGTTCTGGCGGTGAATTGCTCTGCAACACACGCAAGACCTTTAGAACCATGAATTGAAACGAGTGCGTCGATACAACGGTGCGTAAAGACGCAGAAGCATGCGCCAGCCTTTACGCGAAGCAAATTCGCTTTGCTTTTGGTGTGAACGTACCATAACTGTCTGCTGCTATGTCTGATATATTTATAAATATAAATGTTTCCTGATTCCTGGGAGGACGGACACCATGAGCTGATGGTTCATGATTAAATGATAATGTGATGATGTAATCTCAGTGTTTCTTTCAGTGCACATCAGCAGAGAGAAAAGTCTCCTGAACCCATCTGTGTGTCCATGAAGAGTGATCAGTCTCAACATCACCTGGTTAACTTCAAAGAAGACCACCATTCTAATGACCCAGAGTAAGTTCTTAAAACAGATGGAAAACTTCTCAGATCCTCATTTATGAATTACAGAAATGGTTGGGCATTGTTTCAATATCATGACAGAATGTATTATCTTTATCTAACCAGTCTGTATGTGTTTAAGTGTTAATCATTAACTGTAAACATTCTCAGGTGTCAAAGTCAGCTTAATTGTCAATTCCTCGAAATGTACCAAACATACTGTATAATGGGGATGAAAAATGTAGTGGGTGTCATCATCTTTGGTGATGAGACCCACCAGAGTTGTGTTGTCTACAAACTTGTAATAAGTGCTGTCGTGGGTCAGCAAGGTGAAGGGCAGTGGACTGTGAGCACACAGCCTTGAGGGGCCCCTGTGCTAAGTTTTTGTTGCTGCAGCCACAGGCCTGCTTGATTGATTATTTTTAATGAGTCCCATCATCACAGGAGGCCCCCTCTGGCCACACCTGCACCTGCTTCAGAAACGGTCTAGAGACTCTCACTCTTGGTCTGTATGCTGACATTAGCATGACAGTGATGTGGTCAGAGAGCCCTATGTGGGGTAGGGGTGAGGCCTTGTACGCTCCTTTGTGAGTGTAGACCAGATCCAAGATATTTTCCCCTCTTGTTGGGAAATAAACATTCAATGCAATTCATTTTATTTTGTATAGCCCATAATCGCAAATTACAAATTTGCCTCAGAGGGCTTTACAGTCTGTACACATACAACATCCTCTGTCCCAAAACCCACCATCGGCACAGGAAAAACTCCCCAAAAAATGAAAAAACCCTTTCAAGAGGGAAAAAGGGGAAGAAACCTGAGGGAGAACGTCAGAGGAGGGATCCCACTCCTGGGATGGACAGACTACAATGGATGCCATGTGTACAGAATGAATAATATATAATATATGCAATTCCTATGACAGAAATGATTCAAGTAACTGTGAGTAGTAAGCCAGGCGCACAGCAGGACCACTGCAGGGGCAACCACCATCAGATAGAACCACCATCCACAGAGGCCTGAGGGGAGGGAGAGCACAGAGACTTAAGGAGAGGGTAATGTTGGTTTACGAGTACAGTAATATGATTAATATCTAAAATAATAATGATGATGATGATGGCCGCAGCAGGGCCACGGTAGGTGTCAGGACCAGGGTCCCGAAGGAACCACGATCTACAGAGACCTGCTAGGGGAGAAAGCACAAAAAAAACTCCCGGAAAGAATCTGAATTAGTCATGTGCATTAATAAAAGGTGAATTATGGTAGAACGGGAGCGTGAGAGAGGAGCTTGGTGTGTCCTAAGAATTCCCCTGGCATTCTAAGCCTATAGCAGCTTAACTAAGGGCTGGTCCGGGCTAACCTGAGCCAGCCCTAACTATAGGCAGAATCAAAGAGGAAAGTTTTAAGTTTTACTTTAAACGAGCTGACCGAATCTGCCCCCTGGACCAAAAGTGGAACCTGGTTCCACAAAAGAGGAGCTTGATAACTGAATGCTCTGGCCCCCAGCCTACTTTTTAAAACCATAGGAACAACAAGTAACCCAGCATCTATGGAGTGCAGCTGCCTTGTAGGGCAATAAGGTGTTACAAGCTCTTTAAGATACAACAGTGCCTCACCAGCAAGTGCCTTGTAGGTGAGGAGAAGTACCTTAAAATCTATCTAGCGGAGTAACGTGTTTTGTTGAAGACGACCTAGAGAGTCACGTCTTTGTGTGTGGAAGTCGTTGGTTATTTATTTATCATAGACTTTTTGCCCCGTGCATCGCCACTGCTGCTTTTCATCACGGACACATTTGTCCCATATTTTCACCCACAACTTTGTTCCCCTCAACCGGCAAACCAAGGTTTGCGGAGATCTCCCTCCATGAATCCAACTTGTTTGTATAAGCGGTCATATTTACGCATTTCTTCCGACAAAAGTTCTTCAATCTGATCTGTTCTCTGTAAACATTCTTTAATAATGGCGGTATCGGGCTATGAAAGCGGAAATGTGAGACTCGTAAAGGATGTAGTTAGCAGACCAATCGCAGCCTTGTGCGCTGCGGGAGGCTTGCGTCGAAAGCGACGCAAGCCTAGAAAAATGGGTCGACACACGCAAACAAATATGTGAGCTAATTGCCCCACAGAGTGGATCAGGAGAGGATAGCTGCAGATTTCTGGAGACAGATGACTTGGGTCTGATCATGTGATTAGAATAAATTCAGTGTTTTGTGGACTAGCTGACGTGGTCTCTACAGGTCAGGAACAGCAAGGTTGGTGGTTCGAGCCCCGGCTGCTCCATGTCCCATGTCGAAGTGTCCCTGAGCAAGATCCTAACCCCTAATTGCTCCCTGGGCCAAATGTAAGGCGCTTTGGCAGCCAAATGACCTGTAATGTAGTGTCTCTGGACTCCATGCACAGGTTTAGTGAGTATTTTCAGTAGACTCTGTGAAAACGTCCAAAGACCAGTTTCAGAAGATCTCTAGGGGTTCTTCAGGTCATAGGATGGACTGAAGAGGTTTGGAGTAGTTTCACAAGACGTTGTATCATATGCAGAGGTCTGGAGATGCTGTTTTTATGACTCAAAGTAAGTACTAAAAACCGATGAAACTGATAGCTAACTCTCACTCTGAGGATTTCATAATGATCAATCATGGCAGCAACAAATATCTTTAACTAATTATTGTACTGGTGTTGATGGTACAAACACCATGTGAGCTGATGGTTCATGGTTCCTCCACAGAGAGGATCAGGAGAGCTCAGAGGTTCCCACAGGTCAGTCAGCCCAGCAGCATCAAACACACCTGGACTCCATATTCATGGTGTGTACATGTACAACTGCTTTTACATTCATCAGTTCACAATCATCTCCATACTGCACTGTGTAGACCAACGGATTGTCATTCTGTCCAACATGGACCTGATGTTGGCTTCCATGGTTTTAGTTTGTGTCATTCATAGAATATTCTGTTCCAGCTGCTGGAGGAGAAGATCCTCACTTTTGTGAAGGACGAGCTGAAGAAGATCCAGAAGGTTGTGAGTTTAGATTACCCAGAATGCTTAGAAAAGCAGAGGGAGGATGAAGAGCAGCGGAGGAGCAGAGAGGCATTTGTGGAGATCTCAGTGCACTTCCTGAGGAGAATGAAGCAGGAGGAGCTGGCCGACCGTCTGCAGAGAAGTAAGAGGATTTCTCTAGACTTACTTCTCAAAACCTTCACTAATGTCTCAAGAGATGGACCAGAATATATTCATAGAGCCATTCTTTGAGGAAACGACATGTTGGAATTTGTTTTTTGACTCATTGATCTTCTTTGTTGTCTTTATTCAGAACTTCATGCTCCAAATTGTCAGCGTGAACTCAAATCTAACCTGAAGAAGAAGTTTCAGTGTGTGTTTGAGGGGATCGCTAAAGCAGGAAACACAACCCTTCTGAATGAGATCTACACAGAGCTCTACATCACAGAGGGAGGGACTGCAGAGGTCAATAAAGAACATGAGATCAGACAGATTGAAAGAACATCCAGGAAACCAGCCAGACCAGAATGTATCATCAGACAAGAAGACCTCTTTAAAGCCTCAGCTGGAAGAGAGGAACCAATCAGGACAGTGATGACTACGGGAGTGGCTGGCATTGGGAAAACAGTCTTAACACAGAAATTCACTCTGGACTGGGCTGAAAACAAAGACAACCAGGACATACAGTTCACATTTCCATTCACCTTCAGAGAGCTGAACGTGCTGAGAGAGAAGAAGTACAGCTTGGTGGAACTTATTCATCACTTCTTCGGTGAAACCAAAGCAGCAGGAATCTGCAGGTTTGAAGAGTTCCAGGTTGTGTTCATCTTTGACGGCCTGGATGAGTGTCGACTTCCTCTGGACTTTCAAAACAATGAGATCCTGTCTGATGTCACAGAGTCCTCCTCAGTGGACGTGCTCCTCACAAACCTCATCAGGGGAAAGCTGCTTCCCTCTGCTCGCCTCTGGATAACCACACGACCTGCAGCAGCCAATCAGATCCCTCCTGAGTGTGTTGGCATGGTGACAGAGGTCAGAGGGTTCACTGACCCCCAGAAGGAGGAGTACTTCAGGAAGAGGTTCAGAGATGAGGAGCAGGCCAGCAGGATCATCTCTCACGTCAAGACCTCACAAAGTCTCCATATCATGTGCCACATCCCAGTCTTCTGCTGGATCACTGCTACAGTTCTGGAGGAGGTGTTGAAGACCAGTGAGGGAGGGAAGCTGCCAAAGACCCTGACTGAGATGTACATCCACTTCCTGGTGGTTCAATCCAAAGTGAAGGTCAAGTACGATGGTGGAGCTGAGACGGATCCACACTGCAGTCCAGAGAGCAAGAAGATGATTGAGTCTCTAGGAAAACTGGCCTTTGATCAGCTTCTGAAAGGCAACCTGATCTTCTATGAATCCGACCTGACAGAGTGTGGCATTGATATCAGAGCAGCCTCAGTGTACTCAGGAGTGTTCACTCAGATCTTTAGAGAGGAGAGAGGACTGTTCCAGGACAAGGTGTTCTGCTTCGTTCATCTGAGTGTTCAGGAGTTTCTGGCTGCTCTTCATGTCCATCTCACCTTCATCAGTTCTGGTGTCAATCTGCTGCCAAAAGAACAAACCACCGGCTTGTTGTCTAAAGTCTTTAGAGCCAAATCTAAACCAAAACGTCTCTACCGGAGTGCTGTGGACAAGGCCTTAGAGAGTCCTAATGGACACCTGGATTTGTTCCTCCGCTTCCTCCTGGGTCTTTCCCTGGAGACCAATCAGACTTTCCTACGAGGTCTTCTGACACAAACAGGAGATTGCTCACAGAACAATTGGAGAACAGTCAAGTACATCAAGAAGAAGATCAATAAGAATGTGTCACCGGAGAAAACCATCAATCTGTTCCACTGTCTGAATGAATTGAATGATGGTTCTTTAGTGGAGGAGATCCAACAGTCCCTTTCTTCAGGACGTCTCTCCACACATAAACTGTCTCCTGCTCAGTGGTCAGCTTTGGTCTTCATCTTATTGTCCTCAGAAAAAGATCTGGTAGAGTTTGACTTGAAGAAATACTCAACTTCGGAGAAGGCTCTTCTGAGGCTGCTACCAGTGGTCAAAGCCTCTAACAAAGCTTTGTAAGTACAGAGAATTACATTGATGCATCATAACTTAAATATGCTGCCATCTTTTCTACTTACCATTCATATTTTCTCCACTGTTGTTTCTTAAGACTAAGTGGCTGTAACCTCTCAGAGAGAAGCTGTGTAGCTCTGTCATCAGTTCTCAGCTCCCAGTCTACTAGTCTAAGAGAGCTGGATTTGAGTAACAACAATCTACAGGATTCAGGAGTAAAGCTGCTGTTAGCTGGACTGGAGAGTCCACACTGTGAACTGGAGACTCTCAGGTCAGCATCCACTTGTTTTTTTTATTTTCAACAATGGTACATTTCTGACTTAATTCAAGGTTCTTTCTGCTTGCATGATTTAAACTGAATACATATTTACCAAATAGTGATACCAAAAAGTATGTTTAATTTCAATATAATGTTATAAATATATATAACATATATATAGCTTTCAGCAGGGGTGAGTATCGGTTTGTTTTTTTCCCATACCGGTCCGAACCCGCTACTTTTAAAACGACAGCGGTGCCTAAACGGTGCCTGAACCGTTAGGGGAGAGGAGGGTCGTTGTGGACTCACGCTGTGATCGCTGGTGGGTGCGTGCTCACCTGTGTGTGCGCACGTGTCTGCCTGTGTCCATCGGGGTGGAAACTTGCAGATTTTAATAACGAAGGGAAACACTGACTTAAATAAATATAAATAGAGGTAGCTACTGTAGCTGCACAAGCGGTACGCTATCGTTAGCTGTTGCGGGGATGGCGTCATCAAAGTAGTGTAAATAAAGTTTTTCAATCGGCTCAGGCATCGAAAGCAAGCACCGAAGTCTGCGTTGCGTTTCGTAGATACCGGTACCGGACGTATAGGAACTGGTACCAATATGGCACCTGTTCTCGGTATCCAACCCTAGTTAGTCATTAATAACATTAGTGGGTGTTTGGTTGTGATTGGAAACCACTCAGTAACAATGTTGATGTGACCCCTCAGTATCTCAGTACTGCAGTGACCTTCCACCCCTCACAGCTCCCTGATGATGTCCCACATGTGACATGTGTGTTGTTTTGTGTGTTTGCAGGCTGTCAGGATGTGGGATCACAGAGGAAGGCTGGACCTCTCTAGCCTCAGCTCTGAGCTCCAACCCCTCCCATCTGAGAGAGCTGGACCTGAGCTTTAATCATCCAGGAGACTCAGGAATGAAGCTGCTGTCTGCTGGACTTCAGAATCCACACTGGAGACTGGAGACTCTCAGGTATGAGAAGGCCTGCTGCAGCCACAGACCATCAGTCTGGTAGACAGGGTAGAACTGGAAACCTTTTCTCTGTCACACTGTGGGCCTGGTTAAAATGACTCATCAAACAGTTTGTGTCCCATATCAGACCATCAATACAGACTGAAGTATCAATACAGACTGAAATAGTGAGGGAACAGTAGCCAGAATGAGCTTACACAGGGAAGGTGATGAAAGGCTTGTTTCTCTGCAGCCTTGTCTTGTTTCCACATTAGTACAGAAGACAGTGGTGAATCCTGGCATGTTGACGGTCATCATGGTGAATTGATAATTGAGTTGATTTCAGGCTGCTTTCTCCTTTACTTCAAGAGTCGCTTGTCAGGACCAAAACATCCAACAATCAATACTTCTACACGGACCACTGATCAGCTGACTGTGTGATGTTGAAGAGTTGCGTGGTGGAGATGAACCCACAGGGTCCATCTCTGCAACTCTATACATCTGGTTAGCCTCTTTTAGCTTCTAGTTTTTGTCTCATTTTCTGTTTGGTTCAGTCTGAGTGTTTCCAGCAGCAGCTGTTTTCATCCAACAAGCTGTGATGAAGCCACAGTTCACTACCTGCTGAGCAGCAAACAGCAGACACGCTGTCAGAGACCAGCTGGAGAACATAGAGGAGCATTTAGCAGCTAGAGACACAGATATTCAGTACAATACTGATAATAATAGATCATGAATAAGTGAACATAATGAGCTGTGGTCATCGACATATAAGTAGAAGCTCCACTGCAGTACAAGAAGTAAAGGTGGTCCATGGGAACATGAATAACAAAGCTCTGTGTATGTAATGCCTATGTCTCAATGCTGTTTGACCCCCCTCCTCCTTTCAGGGTGGAGCCTGCTGGAGTCCATTGGTTCAGACCAGGGGTGAGGAAGTGTAAGTGTGCTTTGAATTTGATTCCTGATTCAAACTGTGACAACCCTAATTCCCCTCTGTGATGTCATCATCAAAGTGTCAATAGATGAACACATGATTAATAACTGCGGTATGGTGTCTCGTTCTCTCATCAGATTCCTGTGAACTCACACTCGACACGAATACAGTAAACAGAAAACTCAAACTGTCTGACAACAACAGGAAGTTGACATACGTGGGAGATGAGGTTCAGTCATATCCTGATCATCCAGACAGATTTGATTTCTATCCTCAGCTGCTGTGTAGAACTGGTCTGACTGGTCACTGTTACTGGGAGGTTGAATGGAGTGGAAACGTTAATGTATCAGTGAGTTACAAAGGAATTGGGAGGAAAGGAAACAGTAACGACTGTAGGTTTGGATGGAATTATCAATCCTGTAGTCTGAGATGCTCTGATGAAGGTTACTATGTCTGTCACAATAAGACAGAAACACCCATCACCTCCTCCTCCTCCTCTGGTAGAGTAGCAGTGTATGTGGACTGTCCTTCTGGCTCACTGTCCTTCTACAGAGTTTCCTCTGACACACTGATCCACCTCCACACCTTCTACACCACATTCACTGAACCTCCTTATCCTGGGTTTGGCTTCAGGTTCTTGTCCAGTCCTGGTTCCTCAGTGTCTCTGTGTTCTCTGTAGGAGGCAGAGTCTCCTCCTGGTAGAGAAACTTTCTCTTTGCTCACCAGATAGTTCAGTTTACAGGATGTCACACAGCTGATGTTGGTTCATGTGGATGTAGATGCAGGTAGATCAGGTGAGGGGTACCTGAGCTGGTCTGGACTCTGGGGTCCAGAGCTCTTTTGAACTTGTGGTGTTGCAGATAGATATCTGAAAGAGCTCAGCGAGGTGCGCTCGTTGCCTCTATGGATGAATCAATAGATTGACATTTAGATATTGGGTCCTAATGTAAGAGTGAAATTGTGTCATCTTCTATACACATATTTAGGGTTACAAAATCTGAACACTAGTTGTGCTGTTCGGCGTCTGGAGGTGAGAGGGAAAAGTGAGGGAGAGAAGAAGAAATGGACAGCGGAGGCACGGGGTTGCTGTGAGAACGTGACTGTGATAAAAGGTTATGAAGAAAACCCAGAACGTGTTGAACTGAATTATTTCCTGATCACACACCCATGTCGCTTACACTAATTAGGGTATAATCTCAATTTTTATGTCACAAAGTTAAAGAACATATTACCATATTAATCAATCAATCAAATTTTATTTTTGTGTGACGGTTTGGGTTTGTTTCCTGTTTTATTTTGTAATTTTCTGCCTCTTGTGTTCCTGGGTAACGTCACTTGCCGCCTTGTCCTGTCATCCCCTGTGATTGTCTGATTGTTTCCACCTGTGTCCAATCACCGGCACCTCCCTAGTGTATTTAAGCCATGTGTGTCTCTTGTGGTGTCATTGTTCATTGTGAAATCTTCAACGCTGTGAGTTCCTGCGTTTTGCCCCCTTGGCCTTTGACCATTAAAGTCATTTGTTTTTGAAGTCTGCGTTTGAGTCCTGCTTACCCACCTTCCTGACACAAGGTCCAGGTACAAAGCATTAAATTGAAAAAAAACCCCAAAACATACAAAATCTGAAGTACATAAACAAATAACTTATGAATAGACAGCTGTAACAATGACTCCACAGCAGGGACTGGTCGCATGTAGTACTAAACTTCATGTTTGATAAACCCAAGATGATTTTATATTAACCCAGCAGATTAAGAGAGATTGGAAAGTATCAACTCCCGCAGCCACAAACATTTCACTGGCAGTACACCATCTCGGTCTCTTCAGTAATATTCTTATGGCATTATTATAAGCTAATTGGAGTCCTTGTAGTGTACAATATACTCTAAACAGAGATATCTGCCATTGGTCATCTGTTCTGTAATCAAATGTAAAGTTCTGAACCTCTAATCAAGGACCACTACGCTTCTCGCCCCTTCTGAGACATCTAAGACGTCATAAAAAGTCAACTGACTAGAGTTTAAAAATGCCAAAGAATTTAATAACTAACAGAGGTAATAACCAATTAAAGTTAAAGTGAAATAAAGTAAAGGATAATATTTCGCAAATAGAGAAGCCCCCCTGTCTGGTCTCATATGACCATCAAACTTCACAGGAGGCTTCTGCCTGCTCCTTCTCCAGCTAATCTTGTCACGGCGGCTGCGCCGTGATCAGGGTGTTTTGTGTTATGTTGTTGTCTTATCCTTCTCGGTGTTGATGTTTTTCCGGTGGCCATGACAACGGGGCGTGGACCTTGAGGATGCGCAGCTGTTCTGGATCACGCACCTGGATCCTGTCCACAACCAGGAGGGTATTCAGGAGCAACCTTCCACCAGAGGAACGTTTGACACCGTGACCAAAACAGGAAAGAAGTGGTCGTTCGATCCCGTTCTCCATGACGAGTTCTGCGTCTTCCACGCTGCCAACAGATATGACCACAGCCCCGTTCATCCGCCCTGCAGACTTCACGTTGCTGTGGCCGACCATCTCGCCCACCGCCAGGCTGCAGTCTTCCACCGAGCACGAGAAGTGCGGCGGTATCTTGAACCCGTGCTTCCTCGTTAGCTCCGTGAGCTTCATGTCGGCATGTAGCTCAATCTACCCACAAACAAATACCTGAACAACTTTAATGTGCAATAACACCACAAACCCTACATACGACAACACTTATAAAATACCACATTAACAAGTCAGCAAAATGTCGAACGGACTATCACGCTCCACAAGCTCAAGACTTCTTCCAATTTTTTAGATTAAAAAAAACACTTCACTTCAAACAACATCTTACGCCTTTAGAAGCCTTTATATTCTCCACACTGTAAAGTTCCTGCTAGCTCTGCATTCAGGGGACGCACTTTCAGCAGGAGAGTCCTCATCCATGCAGGACCCAGAGTCCTCCTCCTCACTAGAGTCTGATACGTCAGCACCTTGAGCTTTTATTGCAGCTTTTTTAGCTTGCAAATTTCCACCTTTTCCTTTCTTCTTCCTTTGCAGCTGAGGGACAAGCTGCTCCTCACAACCCTCCATGCCCCCCCACTGCCCGCCTCTACCGGTCCTTCAGCACTCTCCCTCCTAACCCTCCTAACATGAGCTTCGTTTCTGCGTGTAGCGCAAACTACCCACAAACAAATACCCAAACCCCTTTAATGTGCACTAACACCACAAAGCCTACATACCACAACACTTATAAAATACCACATTAACAAGTCAGCAAAATATCGAACGGACTATCAGACGTTCACAATCACGATGCACAAGCTCAAGACTTCCAATTTTTTAGATGAAAACGTTTTCCAATTCAAGACAAATAAAATGCCGATGTGCTGAAAGTCACGGGATGCCTTTATTTGTTTTATAAAATACAGTTTATGCCATAAAAACAGGAGCAGGATAAACAGGATTTATTGTTGACAACTGAGCACACAACATCATCGTCTACATCTCCAATGTGTTTATAAAAACGGAACTCTAGTCTGGCCCTGATGTTCACCCGAGACACTTTTTGCCCTCCTGCCCCTCCTTGTTCTTCATTCTGGTCTTCCTACTTAAATAAATTGCCATTTTAGCTTCCCCCCCAAAGACAGTTGAGGAGCTGCCACTTTTCTTTTTCTGCTTTCTTCAAGGCAGCTCTCATAATAAAAACTTTTCTGTAAAAACCACATTGAGAAGACTGAAAACCAATGTTAAAAGAGAGAAGAAACTTGCAAGTCTCTTCCACTCAGTAAAAACATGATAAATAGTCTCTCTAAGCTCACAGAAGAGGCACTTGCTCAAAACAGTGGGGTTAATAACAGAAATAAAAGCATTGGAGGCGACAGCACCGTGTAAAATTCTCCACTGGAAGTCGGCAGTCCGTTTCTTGAGGGGAGGTTTGTATAAAATCCTCCAGCTTGTTGCACAATCTGGACCTGTTTATGCCCTTCACACAGTTAAAATACATAGTCTTCTTATCTGCTTCGTGCAATGTCAATGCTTCGGGGCATGTTGTAGCGAGCAAGGGGGCGGTGAGTTCCCCTAGCCCTGGGCTCAGGTAGATCTTGTGGAAGGGGTCTGCAGGGTCTGGCTCCACTTCTCTCTGGCTGTAGTCTGTGAGGCGGCTACTTTTCTCCCCTGTCAGCCTCTGGTTCCACAGCTCAAGGAGCCTCCTAGCCACCCGGACAGAATGCAGCACCAGCAAAGAGCCCAGGGCCGGGACATCGCTCAGCGTCGGCCCCACTGCGTCCAGGACTTGTGCCTTCAGCAGCGCCCCCATCAGGCCAGGGGTACCACTGCTGCTAATGTCCAGCTTTGCACTGTGAATCAAAGGTTCTCTCAACAACCAGTACAGAAAGGAAGACTGTGGCCACCTTTTACAATTAAAAATGGCCCAAGACTTAAAAACACCCTGATAAAACGGAGGTAGCCCATTTAACTTTAAAACAGCGGTTCCCAAACTTTTTTCCTGCGCACCCCCTTCCATGTCCCAACCGGGTTGCCGCACCCCCAATTCACACTTTAAAAAAAACGCAACAAAACTTTGTTTTATTGTCATATAGACTCATGTTTAAACATGCGCAAATAACCACAACACGCATGACAATAACAACATCAACACAGGCTGAATTAAACTGCAATGGACAACTGCAAACTGCAATCCACAACATTAAAAAGAATAGGCTCCGAAATAGATAAAATAAATAAAAACGGAAACTTTTCAAGTGCGACAATAAAATTTGCCTACACACGATCCACAACATAATTAAGTAACAAAGAGCGGTAAAACATAAAATAAATTAAAAGACGATAAAAGAGGATCCATCCGGAACTTTTCAAGTCTAGCGCAAAAGTCGCTCAGCCTGGAGAGCGAGAGAGCGAGAGAGAGAGAGAGAATGTGTAAGTATTCCCAACAGGCCTATATGTGTAGCAATAATATCAAATACTTACCCATATTAATGCGACGGGTGGGCTTTGAAGAGCTTTATGCATCTTGGCATAAAGCTCTTCAAAGTTTGGCGAAATGGAAGACAGTTTAAGCCTCAATTCCTTCTCAACAGCATCCAGTCTTTGTCGATGTTTAGTTTTAACTGCTGCCATAGCAGAGAAACCAGCCTCGCAGAGATAAGTTGTGGCGAAGGGCATCAAAACTCTCAAGGCTTGCTTTGCCAAGACTGCGTATGATGTCAGTGACTCGGTCCAAAAATCCACAAGTGGCTTTTGTTTGAACTGTAACTGCAGTGCTCCATCAGATGACAGCTCGATCAGCTGCTCCTGCTCGTGAAATGACAGCTGTGGGACGGGCAGGGAAACTTCAAATGGATTGCGAATCCAAGCGCCAGATGTGTCCATAGGTGGAAAGTGTTTCCGTAGCTGCTCGGCGAGTTGGTTGAGGTGTTCAATTATGAGAGTTTTTACATGCTCACCCAGGTGCACGTCATTTTCACCCAAGAACTCGTGAAGCGTAGGGAAAAACAGGTGTGTTTTCCCACTCACACAACTTACCCAGAACCGTAGCTTCTTTATCATGGCCTCAACCCTGTCTTGTGTGTTGAACACAGTTACACTGACTCCCTGCAGACGTAGATTGAGTTCATTCAGAGCTGAGAAGATGTCCGCTAGATAGGCGAGCCTTTTCAGAAAATCTTCGTCATGCATACTGGAGGCCAAATGAAACGGATTCTCCTCAAAAAACTGCTGCAATTCGTGCCGGAGTTCAAAGAGCCTTGTCAGCACTTTGCCACGGGACAGCCAACGCACCTCTGTGTGCAGCAGCAGTGATTTGTGTTCGCTGCCCATCTCGTTACATAACAGTGTGAATATTCGTGAATTTAGCGGACGAGCTTTAATAAAGTTCACCAGTTTGACTGCGTCGTTCAGCGCTGCAAGTAGATCAGCTGGCATGTTTTTGGCTGCGAGGGCCTCTCTGTGAATACTGCAGTGTAACCAGCTGATGGATGGGCAGACTCTCCTAATATGAGCTATAAGCCCTGTGTGTTTCCCCGTCATTGATTTTGCCCCGTCTGTGCAAATTCCCACACAGCGCTCCCAGTCGATGCCATTTGTCCTCATAAAAACGTCAATTAAATTGAAGATTTCCTGTCCTGTTGTTGGGGTAGCAAGGGGCCGACAGAACAAAAACTCTTCTTGTACCGATCCTTCAAAAAGGTAACGGACATAGAGAAGAAGATTGGCCAGATTTGCAACATCTGTAGACTCGTCTACTTGCAGAGAGTAAAACTTTTCTTCACACGGCTGAGTATTACAGCCAGGATGTCTTCAGACATGGCATCAATGCGGCGCGACACAGTGTTATTGGACACACGAATCATGTCCAACTTTTTTGCCTTTCTCTCCAATCATACACTCCACCATTTCTTTGGCCGTTGGCAAACATACGTCTTCGGCCATTGTGTGCGGCAGCCCCTTTTTCCCTACTCTGTAACTGAGCATAGTGAGTCTTTTTCGTAGACCCAACGCATGAATGAAACTGCATTTTCATTTGGCTTTTCTGCAACT